AATAGCCAATAGAATGATTGTCGCTAAAACGTTCCACTCGACCACCGCGTGTCGCGATTAATTGTAAGTGCGAAGGCGCCGTAACGCAATCTTTCGCATCACCTTTAGTTGTTCGAATCCTGCATCTTCTACCGCGCAAGTTATCTCATTGAATAAAACGAAAAAAATTAACAATTAATTTAATAAACGTTGTAAGCGGTCATAATTAAAATTTAAGCGATTCAAGTATCCTTTGTATATAATATTTTGTATTATGCGTATACAGAGTATACAGAGAGAATTTTCTCTTAGAATTTATTATGAAAATCATGATAATCGTAGCACAACATAGTAGGTATATTGGAAGAATTTTATAAGATTTTCTCTGATTAATATTTACCACAGTAAAAAATATTAATATCACAATAAGATATAAAATATGTTCGATTAATTTTACTATGTACATACTAATATTTTTTATTGTGGTAAATATTAATAATTAAAAAAGAAACTTATAAAATTCTCTTCCAATATCATATATTGTCCGACGATTACTATGATTTTCAATCAATTATTTATCTATATCTATCTATCTATTTTCAGGATAAATTCTAAGAAAAAATTCTCTCCGTGTATATAACGTTTGTCTTTGGAAATTTTATTGCTAGAATTTTTTTTCTGATTTATTCGCTTACAACAGGGAGGTATACATTATTGTATGACATGACGGTTCATAAAGTTTGTGTCTTGTATTATAAGTAATAAATAAGACGTTATGGTTTGCTTGACAGAATTATCGTATAGGATCTGATTTCTTTCAGTGTCGTTAAAATGCAAATTGTGTAGTTTCAATGTTCGATCCTCATAAACGTTTAATAAATCTCTCACTCGTGACACTTTGATATGTTTCATTAGTCATTTGGCAATTAGTACTCAACGATAAGATTAAGAGCAGTATTATCAACGTGCTATCTTGGACAGAATGACAATTTCGATTCTCTCATCCATCGTCGCGCGAATATAACACTTTAATATTTATATATATTTTTGCATTATACCATTAATATAATTGATGGAATTTATTATTAATAGTATATTATTACTAATATTATTACTAATAGCAGACTTTAAATCGTTATTAAATTACAAGAATGAATTGACACACAACTATTATATTTAGATATTTTAAATTACCAAAAATAGATTATTATACATTATATTTTACCACTTTTTTAATATATTAGTCAAAATACGATGTAAACATCAATTTCTTAATTCGATACATTGTTATATAAATTGTGTAAATGGCAATATATATACATTAAATATTCCAAGGTGTTTGAAACAACTTATATGAAGCTATTTTTAATGGTGAATGGGACAGGAAAAACACAGTTTATATCAAGAATAAATTTTTAAATTTGTATATTTGCGCGTATATTACAATGAAACAACCCATATAGAAATATTGCGGCATTCGTTTGTAGTCGGCAAAAATTAGTCTCACAAAGCATCAAGGGAAAGTGTTCAAAGAAAGTTTGTACTCACGGTAATTAATCTCTTGCAGACTTCGGCGAATGGATAGTTGTCTCGAGGTTAAATCAGTTAATTGGTTAAGGCCATCGCATGTCAGTAAACCAGGGTTTTCCGCGAAAAAAACAGATTCTGTTCATCGACCAACGAGTTGATTCTTATTAATAAAACACATCTTTTAACGAGCGTCAAATTTGTTACACGCGACAACGGTTAATCATCTCTAAAAACTTGCACGTGTGTGTATTAATTATACGAAAATAATATTGTACGTAAATAATAACATGTGACATTCTTTTCAGTGATAAGAAAGGTGATCATTGAATACAATGATTAATTAATGCTATCATTATCTCATCCAAGGATCACGCTTTTTTAGTAGCTTGATAAAATAATTGAATTGTTTTTCAATTACATTCATTATGCGTTCAACTGTTTTTCTTGTCATACGTGATTAGTGAGCCGTTACAATGATTGCAAATATAAAACATTATATTATGATTTAATAACGATTTGTACGAAAAAAGTTTAATTATTTATGATTAATTAATTTATTGCACTTATATGAGTATTTATTAATTATATCACAAATTTAGCAAATTTACATTAATCCATATAGATTCGAATGTATGACGTAACGTAAAAGTAATGTTACATATTGCAGTCGTTATAAAATTAAACTGTTGCAAAGTTCGTAAAAAGCTATAATTTGTTCAATTATAATTGATCATAAAATTTTAACGCAAAGTTGACTTAATTTTTTTTTGTTTAGTCGGATATGTTTTAATCCTTTACACGTAATAACAAAAAATAATTATGATGTGCCAATTTCGAACGTATTGTATACAAATGATAAGATTAATGTAGGGCTATATTCGCGATTAATGATAATAGCTCATCATAAGTTAAATTAGATAGATAAATATCGAGAGAGAATAAAAATAGGTGAAATATAATCTAATCACTGTGAATGCGTTACGCGATATTTCTTTAAAACGAAGGTTACCTTATTTTATATTCTGTAGACGAGTAACATTCATATGCTTATATATTCTTCTTGTTCCTTGTTCTTCGGATAATTTTAGTTGGAAGACGAACAATTAAACAAACATTGAACATATGTATTTATATGTATGCATCGCTGTTCAGAATAATGCAACTAGCAACTATTCATTCGTTACGAACGTGAGTTGAAAGCTCATGTGATCATTCAAAGTATTATAAAAAGAATTATATAACATATACCGATTACATAACGATACTTCAAAATGTATATTTCTTTCATTTGATTGCCATGATTCCTGTCGATACGATTATTTTCACTTAAAGAAATAACGTGCAAATAATAAAAAAAAGATTCTTAATTAATGATATTCATAAACGCGTGATATTATTAAATGCAGGTGATGATTAGTGATGTATGACAATTTTATAATTTGTATCGAAATAATAACTTCTCTGAAGCTAGAATCAAATCAAATCGATTGGAGTATTTACTACTTAATTTGTGCTAACGTGTACCAGTAAAGATAATTTTACCATTTCGAATTAAACTGTGGAACTGCTAATTTATATTCAGCTGGCACCAGATAAAAATTTTTTTATAATAATTGTAATAATTTGCAATAAGTATTTATAATAATATATAATTTGTGTCGACATATTTTTTTAAATGTACGAAATATGAAATTGTTTTACGATATAAATTAATATATAAATTCAATCCTTCCCATTTCTTTTTTTTTTATTTCCATTTTTTCTCTTTTCCTTTTCTTTCTATTTCGTTTTGTTTTACTTATGGCCTTGCTAATTGAATATAAAGTTAGCACCATGCGGTGCCACGATTTTGTTTCAATATAACGTAGAGTACAAAAAATTATCTGATACTAATTAATACAAAATAAATACTATTCGGATAAACCGATTTAATTCTGCCTATTTAGTCCTGTCAGCTTTAGAGAGATGAAATAATAATTTAATTTAATTCGTCGATTTATATTATACGCGTTATATTTATAGCATAAATAGTCTACTTTGGTGTCTAGCTTATATAACCTTGATGAATAATTTTCGCTTGCTATCAATGAACTGTATCGTACGGCCTACTTTTCACTCTGTGAATGATTGGTTTTTCCGCGAATTTATCAAATACCTATATTTTGTGTCGGTTTGTAATGTTTCAAACAAAATTCTGCGATATTTTCTGCAATAATAAGTGATAAAAAATAGAGAACGTATATGCGAAGAACATATTATAGTAAAAATTACGATATAATTATTGTAATTGTGGAACATACTGCTTTATAAGAGAAATCATAATATTTGTATTTTCAATATGCTATTATATTTTACGAAGTAGTATTGTAATTATTCAAATATTTTCCTGCACAAACAAATATACAATTATTGACAAATATTAAACAAATTTATAATTTACAATTTTTATAGTAATAAATATCCTGATGTCATACTCCAGCTTTATAATATATGTTTTCAAACAAAATGTATTTTTTATGTAATTTGTACTGTAAAATTTTTATGTATACGTTCTTTGTTTTTCTCTTAATTATTTTTAAACTCGGCACTCTTGTTTCCGCGTCGATATAAAGTTCTCAACAATTTCGTATCGGTGATACTTTCACTATTTGCGCCAGCAATCGACGTCATAGGCACTGGAGAAATTGCGAATTCAGTGGCGACGTCAAAATCAGGTTAATGCGGTATTTACGCACGTACGTAATTTCTTCTTTTATATCTTAATATTTTTCCTGGGAAAAATTCTAATAATATCCTTGATACTCTATATATAATATAATATCCTGATATATTTTTATCACTTGGATTATTAGAAACTATTTGAACTTATGTAAATAAATGTTACAAAGATCTATAATTGCAATAGATGTCAACAATTATTCCTTATATGATCTCTTTTAAAAAATGTTTTGCATATCCAACTTAAATTTAAATGTTAAAAAAATATATTTACATTATAGATAAAATGTCATTATATAGATTAGGTCCGTAAAGTACAGATAAAATCATATTCTTTTGCCGTTACACGTGTAACTAAGCATAGAAACTTGTATAGATCTCCTTCGATTTCTCATGATCGTCGAAAAAAAATGACCTTTGAAAAATTTCTCGTAATGACGTCATTCGATCGAACGCGAATCCTCGGTCATTGTCGCCTGACAATCCTCGCGGTCAGTGTGTTGCCTATACACACACCGTCGCAATAGATCCGTTTTCGTTCTCCGAAACGCGGGCAAGCCGAGGTTAAATACGTTCGCTGCATCAGCAGCCGCCGCCTTTTCCAGATGCGGATCTTTCACGGCTCACAATCAGACGTGCCCCACGCGATGACGCGCGCGGTTTAAGGTTCAAATTCGCCGCAGGGTGTGTGTCCCGTTTACGGCGAATGAGCGGACGCCGTGTCGGGGGCTCGTCTCAGCTGCGACGTGACGTAACGCCGCTTAAAAGGCGGCTCGCGTGAAACGCGCGAATCAGTCGCACAACGCACGCCGTACCGTGCATTGCTGAGGAGCAGAGGAGGCATCGGATTATTTGTTTTTCCCTCGACCAAGAGAAGACCTGTATATCGCGTTGTCGATCCCATCTCTCTCTCTCTCTCTTTTTCTCCCTTCCCCTCTTTCTCTCTTTCTCTTCGTCTGTTTCTCTCCTCGTCCTCCTGGTTTTCCCCTTTTTATCATCCATCCTGCACAACCCCGCGACATTCCGCGCATCTGGAATTTCCATCCAAGTCGAGAGCGCATTTGCAATTAGACCGCCAATTCGCGCTCTTGAGAGAGATTTACGCGCGATCGAGTTGGCGCTCGATCAGAAGCGGAGAGATATTATTTCTGTGCACATCCGAAGGAGATCCTCTGACGTAGCGGTGCGACTCTTTTATCAGGGAGATTGGAAAGGTACGCGAAGGTCGGCTTGCGTGTATCCCGTAAGTACAGACGAAACGCGCGTCGAGACGAGAAATAATTCCAATTGCCATATTAGTTATCAATTTTGATTATATTAAATATAATTTATCTTATATTTTCATCGTTCTCTTTTTTCAAGATCTTTGATAGATGAGATGAAATATCGGAGCGAATCGAACCATATGCAAATTGCTGTAGACACACTATACCATAGTTCTCATTTCATTCTCATTAAGTAAAATTTTCATGTAATCACAGTAAATTCCAGGTTATTGTAGCAATAGAAGAATGTAATTTCAGACTGATGAAACATACTGTTAATTTGTAATTCTGTCCCATTAAGTCACATCATTAATTAAATAATGATGTGGGCATCGTTGTTTCGTATTTCGAAATTATAATCAACTTTTTTTTACATACATCATTAATTTTTTAAACACGTATTACTAAGCATAAATATATATGTAAATATTACATAAAAATATTCCCCAATAATTAAAAATTCTTAGTATACAATTTTTTGTAAACAGAATAATGCATGTCTTACATACATATATTGTATACATATATTTCTTTTTTAAATTGGACATTTGATTTTGCGCAAGATTATGAAAGAAGAAATATTACTAAATTACAGCAATGTCGCAGAATTAGTCATCCGATAATATCCATCATCATTGAATTCCGTCTTCATCTGTATCTTCAAACCATAGTATATGTATACACTGAAAAAAAATGTGTTAACTTGACTAAACCTTTAAACCAAATTACTATTTTGTTAATTGAACATATATTGATATTTTGGTCAAAATATATACCTACATTTTGTTAAATTTAATATATTATATTTAATTTAAATATTTTTATATATTCAATTAACGAAATAATATTTAGTTGAAGGGTTTAGTCAAGTTAAAAAATTCTTTTTCAGTGCACGCACTGCAGAAGAGGCAGCAGGTGACACGTATCGCACTCGTGGTTACTCCGTGGCTAAATGTAGCCGGTGCCACTTAGGGACGGAAATAGATGATATCAATTTGGTGACCGGTATTGACAAACTTAACGAGCACGTCGCTGATACGGACACAGGACTTCAATGGTGTATCGTGTAGGAAATAAAACGCATCTTATATATCTTACAGTTGGAATCTCTCACTTATCGTAATCTAGGATGTCGTGCAATCTTACTTACTTTAGCTTCGGATATCAAAGATTTTATCATAAGTGTCTATTACAGGGTATCTACTCAGATTGAAGAATTAAGTGTAACAGTGGTGTGACCAGGCGTTTTAAGGTCTTTTGAGAAAATTAAATAATTTAAAAAATATGAATCAAATCACTTAAATTAAATATAATAATTTTTTTAAATTTAATTTCTAAATTAATTTTCTCCAATTTTCGAGAAAAAAATAAACCATTATTGCATGATTACTTTCTTAGGTGATCCGTCAAGATAATATACCTATCGATCCGTATATATTTGCATTGATGAATCGATTGCTTTAAATTCTATTCGTAAACGATGTGATTGGCAACTATATTTGTCCACGTGCAGGCGTCTGAGGTAGAAAGTGTCGAAGTTAATTGCGACATATGATATATATATATTAATTCGTCAAATCGAAATATTTTTCAACATACTCCGTTTTCGCGAAGTGTTTCGAATTTATTCAAGGCCGTTCGAAGCCGACTTTGCTCGTGAAAAAATTTATTATAATCCGGTGTTAAAATGACAGAATGACATTTTAATCTCATTTTATTTTATTCATTAATGAAATTGTAATTTACGTAATTATCGCATTATCTCTTTTGAATTCGTCGAATTACTCGCGAATGATCTACTTCGATAGATCCGCAGGATCGTTTGTCACTGTGGTGACATATTTATCACTTTGATCGACGCATAGTATGCCGATGCATACCTAATTATTTTACTGTTACTCACAAATCAACCAGATGCAGCTCGTCTCGCATAATTCAAGTACGTAAGAGCATAATTAGCTAATGAGGCTATAACGATCGATTTATCTGTATAGATATTATATCATGAAGCAGATGACATTACATTTTCTTGTAATAGCAACAGTTATCTATATATTGAGGAAAAAATCATATCGGCATTTTTTATTTGCATCATGTTTACTTAAAAGTGATATTATGTAATTAAATACAAATTTATTTCTCTACGAGCGTGATTAAAAAAAGCGTAACGTTTTAATAATTAAAATTAAATAAATATTCAAGAAAATGTTATTTTATGTTAATTTTATGTTTAATAAAAAATAGATACTTTTTTCTAGATTATATACTTTAAATGTTCGCCGAAAGCGCAATATTTTGATTTTGTAGCGGAAAAAACCGCGAATTTCGCGGATTCGCGATAAGAGCTTTATCGTAAACATTCTAAGATAAGTATCAGTTGCTCGCAGCTCTCGATTGAAGATATTCATTTGCTGTTTTACGAGAGCACACTGAAGTGTAAACGTACAATTGAGATTGCAATCGCCGGAGTGAAAATGCTAAATTCTCTCATACGAGCTTGTTACATGTCTAACGTTGACGTTGCATTATTCATCTCCTAACATCTGTTTTCGCATTTTCTGTTACAGGAGAGATGTTGGGGCCTCGCTGTTGGAGCTGAGACCGCCGCGCCGGCTGCGAAAGTCCGTGGGTCCGCATCCGAAATTGATCACGAAAAAGTAAGGATCATTCGCGTACGGATCATCTCCGCGCGCCATCACTCTCGTATCCCTCGGTTTAAAAAAAAAACGAGAGTCAAAATCAAGTTGGGCCTAAAAAGTAAAAAGAATCGAGAAGCACAGAACCGTGAAGCGAAGAAGAACAGAATCGCTAGATCAAGAGTGAAAGAGGAGGAGAGAAGGAAAAAAAAGGAACATTAATTCATAAAATAAAAGCCGGCTTTTTGATTTGATAGAGGGAAGAAAAGAAAAAAATCTGGCCTTATTACGCGCGTTTATTATCGCTCGCTTTTCTCTGTTCACTTTCGCGTAGATTTTTAAAAGACCCTCAAGGGATAAAGTGATATGCGCGCGCGTGCTTTTCCCGCTCGTGCTTGTGTAACGTAAATCCAGGGGTTCGCGATATCCAATCGACAGTAAAAAAGAGAGAGAGGGAGAGAGAGGTACCGAGAAACCGAGAGCGAAAAAATGGCCATGGTCTCGACATGCTCTGTCTTGAGGTATCGTCTTCTGCTGAACGCTGCGCTCTTCACGTGCCTCGTCGTTCTCCAAAGCTCTGCTATCGCGGATAACACGGGCACGACGAAACCGCCCCCGTGTTCAAGGTAAGTGTCTCTCACAGCGAAACCAAATCTCAGCCTCAATTCGCTACTCTGCCAAACCCCTGCCAAAACCTCGCGACTTAGAAAATCGTGTTACTCTCTTCTTTTTTTCTTTTTTTTTTATATAGCCTCGTCGTTCGCGATAAGTGACAAGGTCACGCTTATTTTTAATGGACAACTGACGTCGATATTTCCGCCTTTAAAACGTGGGCGATAAACTACGATTAAGGCAATTTTTTCTTGCGCGTTATGTCAATGTTGAAAATTTTCAACATCGAGCCTTTGGAAAATAAAGTCGACCGACGATTCGAAATATTTTTTTTAACGATTTATCTTTTATTGTCTGTCTGCAATAAATATGTATCTCGATTTGTATTCAATCATACAGACAAGAGTCTGTTAACTCTTCCGGTTAACTTGAATCGGATAAAATATGATACGCGAGAGTTGAAACGAAGCGTTTGAAAGTGATTAGAAACGAATTTGTCATTTATCGTGTTTTGTACAAATTTTATTTAATTGTAAGTTACTCCACCCGAGATCGAATCTTACGTAACTGATGTGTATATATAAGCAATTATACGTTAAACGCATGTAATTGCATAAAATTTCACATTTCAGTTATCGTATCTCGCCAACTATTGTTTACGGAAGTAAATTACAAAATGATATAGGGTTAATTACTTAGGACTAGAAATTACATTATTGCGCGCGCGCATCCCATATAATACACAATCACAAGTCATTATATAATATACTATTTATAAATAATGGACATTTCGCGTGAATTTTCAGGCATTTACTTATTAACAATATTTTTATGCTTAAATGGATATATTTTTTTTCATTAAAGCATAAAACATTAAAATTTATTGACTACATATGAAAATATTTTATCTATTTGATACTTATTTCTGTAATTTTTATTTTTTGATTTGCCGTATTTGATACAAAATTATGTTGATTATTGATAAAAATAGATTAAAAAAATTTACGAACGAAAATGCTATAGCTGTCAGAAATTAATGCATAGAAAGGAAAAAAATATAACATATGACAAGCATGATTGCCAACAGAGCAGCAGTATCGTAACTTTTTATTATTTAAAAAACTTTTGAAACTAAATTAAAAAAATATTATCTACGAAATAAAATAAAATAGAACTTTTTTAGTTAATAGATCTTTGTTGTATAAGCATGGAGAAGCCTAAAATTCGATATTTAAAATATATTTTAAAAATGCGACGACCGGTCATTCGTCATAAAATCGCGTGTCCATGATGTGACAAATATAAACTCCGACAGTCAACCGGGATATCTTAGGTATCGCAGACACGTCGAGAGGAAATGTCACGAGACTTCAAGTGATTCGTTGACGACGAGTCACGTCATTCACTGTACGATAACAAAAATAGTCGTCTCACATATACATAGCAGTCATTTTCGTATATTTCTTTGAAGGATTGGTGAATAATTTGTATATAATAAAATCGCTGTCTCCATTTTTGCCATGTGCCATGTGTGTCTTAGAAACTTTATATCGAATTTATATTAAAATTTTACGAAACTTTCACACATCATATTTATTTAATTATATTCTTTTACTTAAAATAAAGTTTAGCACATAATAATACAAATTTAGCAAAATGATATTGTTTTTTTTTATAAATATAACGTTGTACAATTTGAAAGTTAAAATGTTTTAGAGCTAACGTTATGCTATTTGGGACTTGACCCAAATTACAAACAAGCGACTCTTATTTTGGTTTGACATAAATGTAAACCACGTGTCGTTAAAACATACGTGAAAAATATTCTATTTCCGTCGAAAATAAATCTTTAATCAATGTACCATTTTTTCGTGCATATACTTGCCATTATATTATCTTGAAAACAGCAAACAAAGATTTTATAAAATAATTTGTTTACTTTCATAAATATGTTACTAAAGATTAAATATATATGTATCCCACACAGCACAAATTCTGAGAATATTCCAAGAGAGAATATTATAAAAAAAATATTAAATATATTCTCTGAATATTCGTATACGATATATTAATTATTAATTAATTACACGTTCATTGATCCAATTTATTAAGTATACACATGTTACAGTTGTTATATCTCATATAGAGCATTACGATTGATTTAAGATAAATAAATAACAAGATGAATTATATTTTATATAATAAATTAATTTCAATTTGCCTTAAATAAAAATAAATTTCTTATTTATTCGTCCAATTTCAAACATAATCTGTTTAATGTTCTGAATTTTTTGTTAGGATTTTTATTATCAGAAATTAAACTGAAAAAATTATACTTTGAATCTTATGTTAATAGTTACTCGTTAGGCTTTTATGACAGAAACTTGATAATAGTTTTGCCATGTAATGATAAGCAGAAGAAAATATGTAATGTATTCAAAAATATATCCTGAGAATATTTAAAAAATAATATACTATAGGAGATATTTTCGATATATTATATACATCCATAGTATTCAGTATAAGTGCAGAATTTTCGAGTGTCCATATTATGTGCTGTCTGGGATATCTGAAAAATTACTGTAAAATACAGATAGGAGATATCTTTTCTACAATATCACACATTTAAATATTTAAATATCATGTTTCTTTGTTTTAAAGTACAGCTATAATTATGTAGCATAATTATGTCTCTCTGACGCAATTGCAAAAAATCAAGATCGCACTTTAAGTGGACTAGATTATATATACACGCAATATTATATTTTTATGCGAATACGCGTGACGCAAGCATTTAGGGAAATGACCTTAGCAATGAACTTTGTCCTGAGATCAGGCGCGTGGCAGGTTGGGCTCTAAATTAACGTGTTCCGCAAGTACAATGAACGTGACCTTTACACGTCTACACATGCATGTGTGCACATGCTAATGGTGGCTCTTTCGTGTGCGTCGACTTGCGGCGGAAACTTTTCACTCGCGCGATCGATGACGCGCTTCAGCATCTCTATTTAAGGCTTGGATTTTTTTGTGACAGACAAATTTCTGCAACAAGCGTATCTTGTGTTTCAAGAGTATACAATTATCAACGGTTTTTTATTTCTAAAAAAACGTTTTTTATTTGAACTATTTATTAGACAATCATTATTGAAGATATCATGACAGAATTTTATTATAGCCCAGAATAACGAAATTTCTTTTTACATCGTAATTTTGGCAAAAAAGTGCGATAAATGATATCGTATTGTATAATGCACCGCGTATTCTTTCAAAAATCCATCAAAGAAAATTTATTATGATTTTTTTATGTTCGACGTATAGCAAAAGCATCAATATTGCATCAACTGCATCAAGTCAAATTTTTTATTGCAAAATATCTGATTTATATTTCAGAAAGAAACAATTTTTTGATTAAATATTAATCAAGACAAGATATAGCATCTCGCATTTCTAAAGAGATGGAATGTTTTCTCACATATATATTAATATATCTCATCGCGCTAATCTTGGCATTATGCCACTCGATTCTGACAAAATCTATGCAATGTTTTCCGCAATGAAAACAACTATTTAATGAAAAAAATAAACATACGGTATTTATTTCGTGTTAATTCATATTTTGTTTTAAAAAAGTAAGTAACTCTTCCTGAAATGCGGTTTCGCAATTTTTTGGATAATGACAGGTTCCGCAAAGATTTATCTGCAAAAGCGCGGATAAAAAAATTCGGTAATGTCTTCTAAGAAAGCAAGATCTTTCATCTTACACCATCACATGATGCAAACATGTTTGTCAAGTATATCCGTGTCGTGATATAGGCAAATCTGCGAATCCGAATCACGTCTGCGAGATAACACGTATACCGGGTATATCCGGTAATAGGTATATGTATATACACACTTGATGAGAGCTCGACGAATTAATTGCTGAAGTCTTCTGTCGTTGTTTTTTAAGGCGACATATTCTGCTCAAATTTCCTCGACCATGTCAAATTACTTGACCATTGATATATTTAGCAACAAAAAGCGAAGTGAATGTTGTGTAAGGCGTAGCGAACGAGTGGAGTAAATTGAGTTTTCCGGGCATTTTCTAAATGACGTCTTACTAAAGTAGCGCGATCAGGTTCCTTGGATAAGGTTGCAATGACACTTACTTCTAAAATACGCATATTAAGTTTCATAAAATTTTTTTAATTTTTCATAAATTATGTTTTTTCACTTGCAATATATATAAATAGAAATTTATATATTTAATTCGCTGATTATGCATATATATGCGATACTATGTATAGTACACAGTATTAAATACGAATCTTATCGCGAAAAATACGGGCAAATAGAGGTGCTAGTCTCTTGCAATATCTAGAATGGCATTTAGCTGATTAATTAAGTCAACAATTAATTAAAGCATTCTCTATCTCCAGTATTGCGTAGTCTGCTTAACACAGCTTTTCGAACCTGTTTCTGATAATTTTATTTTTTTATCGTAGATACTGTTATTTGCCACGATAATTTTCTGTACACATATTTGACACTAAAAAAAAAATATACTGATCTACATATCAAGATCAACATTTTTTGAAAAAAATTATAAATTACAAGTATATTCAAGTTTTATATTATATGGATATTATATACGTGGACTTTTCAAATCTTGATAATTATATTAGTATAATAAATTTTCATATATCGCATTTTTAATATAAAATCATTTGTTTACAACGAGCTCGATCAAATGAAAATAGATGTGAATAGCGAATAGATAATAAATCAAATAATTTGCAATAACAAATTAGATCTGACACAGGAAGAAAAAATAATTACGAATATTAAAAGATATTTGTTTAAGTAATAATTGACACTCACATATATATATATATATATATATATACTTCTTAAACACTAACAATTTTTCTTATGCAGATATTTTTTTTCTTTTAACGTACGCTTGATTATGATACGTTTTTAATTAGAGAACAATTTCGAACGTGCAGTTAGTCCACACGGATAATTATTCACGGATATATTTACATCAAACGATCGTATCAGCACGTAATTACAGACTAATGTAAACAGAAATTCGAAAGAGGAGCTTTAGCAGAAGTTTGATTTGCATATTTTTACCGAGGGGAAAATTTCGTGCAATCTCGTTCGCAAGGAGCCGCGTTCGATTTTCACAGTGAATGAAAAATAAAAATCATTATCAAATTCTTCGTTCGCAACTTGAACGAGGGAGACGCGTATTAATGACAATATTGAGGCAGATTTCGCGAGGCTAATCGCGGTTATCTCGCGCATTCCGTCACGCGAGCGCGGAATTTTTTTCTTTTTTTTTTGTATCGATAGAACATTGTGTGAATCTATAATTTGCGAGAGAAACAATTTTGCTCGAAATATACACCGAGTCACACTGGATCGCATCGCGTGCGTCAAAATGTAACACGTAATCAAGGTCTGCTAGAGGAAACTCAAAAGTCTCACGTACAGAAACCAGTCGTGCGCGACCAATTTATGATTTACATATTACAAATTCGCGATGTCACGTTTTGTTCTTACATGCGCGCGAGAGATTGACGGAGGAGCATCTGTGCACGAAAGTTTATCTCTCTGGAATACGAAAAAGGAAATTTCCAAATGTCGAAATGCTTGAAATTCACTCGCTCGTTCTACACGCTTTTACGATTTCAATTATTGCGATACAGAAGAGGAATATTCATTCTTACGAGACTTAATTATATACACATCTCGCATTACATGATTATGCACGCTTGTTTGTTGAACGATCCGTCGTTTGAATACCATTTTTTTATGAGCTCTGATCTAATGCTTCTTCTTCGGCTCTGACACGAGATGTATCCGGAAGTAAATCAGAACGCTCTGCAGCGCCTTACAATTCACAGGAAAAAATAAACCGATGTTAATTGCGGGATTGGAATTTTCCTACTATTAAGCACAAGCGTGTAATTCTTTACATATGTTTCCCGGTTTTTTTAAATATCATTGTTTGTGAAATAATTATATTTCACAATTAAAGACTAAAGCTTCTTTTCTAACTGCAATTAGAGATTAGTAGCTGCTTTATTCTGACAAAAATTATGCATTCATGAAGATGGCGTATAATTAAAGATCTAAATATGTCTGACTTAATTAGGGAAGTCAAGACATTGATTTACACGTCTATGTATTAATCGCGAAAACTGCGCATAGTTGAAAAAGCGTTTTGCTTCTTCAAGATCATGCCGCGATTTCGTGACATTAATCTAATATAAGCTTCCTCAATAGGAGTGACTTTGCACTGCATCAGTAATAAAAGAACTTTTTAATTTAATTTAATTAAATAATAAATAACGCGATTTTTTTTCAATCGTCTACTCTTATCATTATCATAAATTATTATAAATTATCATAAACTTGCATAATTAGCGACGACGTTTGTGACTGTATTAAATTCCTCCCTTTTTCACGTAACATATATTTGTTTTATCAAATCAAATCGGTGCAAAGTTCATCCTCGGACCGATTCTGTCCACGTTAAGACCACCCGATCCGCGAGCAATTTGATCAACTCCTGCGATCTCGTCGAGTCAAGTAGCCCATATACCATGCCTTTCCAGCGAGATATACTGCCACGGCGATCTGCTGCACACGATACAGATGAACGGGGTGTACAAGGATTCCAAGCACTTCGTCGACATGAAAATGAAACGACCGGCGAACGAGACGCTGGCGTCGTTCCGGGCCTTCATGAGGAGCGTGAACAACAAGCCGTCCAAGCACCAGGTGGAGAAGTTCATCAACGACACGTTCGAGCCGCCCGGTTTCGAATTCGAGGACTGGGATCCATCCGATTGGACGGCGAGTCCCAAGTTCCTGCAGAACATCGAGGACGACGAGCTGCGAAAATTCGGCTCCGATCTCAATCAAATCTGGAAGCTGCTGGGCAGGAAGATGCGGGACGATGTGAGGATCAACGAGGATCTTTATTCGATCATCTACGTGCCGAATCCCGTAATCGTGCCCGGCGGTCGATTCCGCGAGTTCTACTACTGGGACTCCTACTGGATCATCAAGGGCCTGCTGCTGTCAGAGATGCACAACACCGTCAAGGGCATGCTGAACAATTTCGTGTCGATCGTGGACAAGATAGGTTTTATACCGAACGGCGGTAGAGTCTACTATAAGATGCGAACGCATCCGCCGCTTTTGATACCCATGGTACACGAATATCTAAGGGTTACCCACGACGACGCCTGGTTGAAGGAGCATCTCTGGCTGCTGGAGAAGGAATTCGATTTCTGGATGACCAACAGAACCGTGGATGTCGAAGTGGACGGAATTAATTACACTCTCGCTAGATATTACGAGGAATCGTCCGGTCCTCGACCGGAATCCTATAAGTAAGTATCGCGACTTGTACATTCGATGATAATGAAAATGCGAGAAGCTGATAACCTGAAACTCGTCAAAGCGAAACTGGGAATATTTGAAAAATTCGGACGTAAACTCTCCCTTCATTTATATCGAATTCTTACAAATATATTAATTTTTATATGTTGTATAAAATAAATTACACCTTGAGCAATTTCTGATTTAATTATAAATATTGGAGAAAAATTCTGTAAATGAAAATGAAATATTCTCAATTAACTTCGACTCTGAGTTTTGATTTTTCGATCTTTTTAATCTCGCGATTTGATGGTCAGGGAGGACTATCTGACGAGTCAAAGTTTTCGAACCGCCGAAGAGAAGGATAATTATTATTCGGAATTGAAAACTGCGGCCGAGTCCGGATGGGATTTTTCCAGTCGATGGTTCGTACACGAGGGTACCAACAAGGGTAATTATCATTCCTTAATTGCTTTCCGCGCGATGTAAATAGAAGTCTTTCTGGGTGAGCGACGTTGGGCACAATATTACATACTTGTTTACACGAGAGAAGTAGTTAAAATAACTTTGATGGATGGATAAAGCGTATTAATTGTCGCACAAGTGTCGGCGAAGATGACGTACTGCGCTAATTGCAAAAACCATCTTCGATTCAAAAGATTAAGGAAAAAGAAAAAGAATAGAGAAAACTGTGTTTCAATTGTCTTACATTAACTGAACTCAATTTTTTACATGTAGCTTCTCTCTTCAAAATGATATCGAACAAACGCTAAGCCGCTGCGTTGTTTGTTAATATTGATAATTAATTTCTTTTTATATCTTGAAGAGCTATAATGATATATTACACAGATATACGCACGTATATACCTATTATACGCGCGGCATAGCTATTATTGTGCTACGTATTCCACAATTATTCCACGTTAAACAGCGTATCTTCAATGAGATCTGCGCGCGCCGTCAAGGCCCTCCGTCTCGTTTCCTAAGTGAAAGCCTTGCTCGAGGCATCGGTACTCTAAAATCCATTTTTGCAAAACCAAGTGTTGCAATTCAGAATCGGTAGATCGTACCGATTTTGTAATATTCAGATTGTCCTGCCTTGCTCAATCCCATGACAATTAAAAATGCAATTTGGCAAAATAATCTTTTATTTATGAATCTCTTACTACTTTCCAACAATGTCTACATAACGAAAGTTCATTAAAAAAACAACTCAGCTGACGGCAAGACGCGAATTTCAGGCAATTTGACGAATCTCAAAACCAGATCGATAATTCCGGTCGATTTAAACGCCATAATATATCGGAACGCGGTGCTGCTGGCTCAATACAATCGTCAGATGGGCAACGAGACAAAGGCCGCGTATTACGACAACATAGCGGAGAAGTGGAAGACGGCAGTGGAAAAGGTGTTGTGGCACGAGGAGGTAGGTGCCTGGTTAGACTACGACATCCTCAACGACATCAAGCGGGATTACTTCTACCCGACCAACATCCTGCCGCTCTGGACGTATTGCTACAACCCCTCGAAGAAGTCGGAGTACGTGTCGAAGGTGCTCAAGTATCTCGAGAAGAATCAGATCATGTTGAATCAGGGCGGTATCCCGACCACGCTGGAACACTCCGGTGAACAATGGGATTATCCCAATGCCTGGCCGCCTCTTCAATATTTCTTTATCATGTCGTTGAACAACACGGGCGACCCATGGGCGCAGAGGCTGGCCTACGAAATCAGCCAGAGATGGGTCCGTAGTAACTATAAGGCTTTCAACGAGACCCACAGCATGTATGAAAAGGTAATTTTCCTGGGTGAAAAGAAAATGAAGAATATAATATCTCGCACAATTTATTTTATGATGAATTTGTAAAAAAATAAATTTCCTTCTGGGGGGGAATTTCTAAAGAGGGAAAATTTGAATTCTGTTCATAGTACGACGCGACCGTCTCGGGTGGACACGGTAGTGGAGGTGAGTACGAAGTGCAGCTTGGTTTCGGCTGGTCGAACGGGCTCGTTATGGATTTGCTGGATAAGTATGGTGACAGGTTGACCGCGGAGGATTTTTTCCTAGCCGGTGAGGTAGTCGAAAACGCGGCACCACCGCAAGTTATTTCAACGGCTGGTCAAATGTTAACCGGGCTTCTAGCTCTCATCATATCGTTAGCAGCAGGATTTATAGGGTGAGGTGAGTGTGTCAAGCCGATAGGGGAAAAGTATTTACTTCACGTTGCAAATGAGTGAAAAAGTTTTGATAGCTTCTTTTCTTTATAAAATTATAAAGTCAATTTTTTTTATCAATGAATTAATTAATAGTGCATGTGTGATAGCATATATTAAAAGAATGTCTTCTTTGCTTTCTGTTTCAGATATGCACGTGATCTAAATCGATTAGGATAAAATTAAAAAAAATAGAGAGATCGATACAGAGGTGGTAGTAGAGATACTTGCAGTAGAGAAAAAAAAACAAAAAGTTAATCTAAATAATATTTTCACCCCTCTTTCTCGATTTTCATTCGGTTTATATAAGACTCGATAACCGGTGAGGAAAAATCGCGTAGACGGGTAGAAAGGGACCAAATAGAAGCAAGTGCAGGCACTGTCCTTCTTATGAATATTATTGTGAGACATTTTGACGCGGGGTCTCGCGTTATATTTATTCTCTTGCCACACACGTGCTTCCAAAGATTACTTTATAAACTACAGAATATATATTATATATATATTTTTTTAACGATAGCCGCATTTAAGTATTACTTCAGAAGGGACACGAATCTTGCTTACTCGCGATATACTATCGATATCGTACTTACCAATTGTTTAAATTTTATATGAGATATACATATACACAAAATTTATTATTCTACTTTTACACATCTTTATTAAAATAATTTTTAGTTAAAAAAATATTCAGAATATGTGATATCGATTTTTTCCGAGATTATCATCTCAAAGATTATATCGCTAGTATGCCTAAACACATTTGCAAACATGTGCCTTCTTAGCTATGGAATTACGTCGTTATATTATTTATAGGAATATCGTGGCCCTTCTCTTTCTCGCTGACGGATAACGTAGACAAGATTTATTATCGCTAGATAATCGTCGCATTACTTAATCGTTCCATCAGACAGGCGTTGTTACGAGGGATATTCTGTGATTATTTAACGAACTACTTCGCTGGTCGAACTACGTTCTAGTATCCTTCTACGGCAGGAGTTTATCCTTTGTTTTTGTGTCTAAAACTTTGAAAATACCGCAGGCGATTTCTTGAAGTTAAGAGAGTCTAATCAACGTGTATTATTTTATTCTCAGATTAGCCATTAACTACTATATTAGTATTATTAGATAAATTATAGATAAATTATTATGTCGCACATATAATATATGTATGTAATAAGCAAATATCGACATCTCCGAAATATTTCGGAGAGAGTCGGAGAAAGGTTCCTCGAAAGGGAAGAAGAAAAAGACGCAATGAGAAAGTGTTAAGGTAAGACTAAGAACACGAGTTTTTCGGCAGGACTAGGAGTTTACAAATAAACGGAATAACAAAGAAAGATTCCGCTCTCTCTCTCTCTTTCTCTCTCTTTTCTCTTCTCGAAAGAAGAGTGGACTTATCTAGTCAGTTTGCGTATCGGCGCTTATAGTTATCTTATTCTTATGAATTCGCATTGGCGAGATATTGTGAAGAGGTCGAGCGTCACCAAAATTACTCCTCTAATCTTCGTCATCGCTCTCACAAAGGGTGCCTTAAATATAACTTGAATAGACGGATAAAACGGAGCGTTAAATTGAGGAAAACATGAGGTAGCAATGAATAATAAACGAACGCAACAGTCAACTGTTGACAGTTCGTAACGATGACAGCTAGTTTACTTTCAATTCGCGAATTGTTGTTCCTCTATATTTTATATATAAATCCTCTCTTGTGTCTCCATTCGCGATCATTCCCTTTGTAGGAAAAATTAGCACGGTATATTAAAGCTACGATCTCGCGAATTACTATGTCCACACTCTTCGAATCTATTGAATAGATTCTAATGAAAAAATAAAGCGTATATAAAAAGTTACAGAAAGATGTATTTTTGACGAAAGAAGGATTTATTATTATATGATATATATTATTAGAAAACACAATTTTTATTCGGTGAATATATACATGACGTAATATACCAATATGCGTTTAAAATATCGGTACAATTTTACAATTTACTTATTTGTAAAGTTAACATTAATAATAAATTCGCCAACTACTTTATATTTTTATCTCAGAGGACACGTATATCGCGCACTCTTTTTTTAGTTCTATGTCAGCCAAGATGACATTTAATAATGCATGCGTAGGTATATAAAAATATCGCGTCTGTCTCTTGCCATGTAAGATATTGCATGACTTTTAGCCATTTGGTTATTTGATATAACTCAAAAAGAATTATTCTTATTAAAAACGGATTTGCTACATATTTTCTTTTCGTAATCTATTTATACGAATGTGAGTGTGTCACACGCATGTTCCTTGCATCCACAAGTCCACACACCTTGTACGTAATTTAATAAAATAAATAAATTGAATGTGTGTGTGTACCTCCACGTAAACCATCCTGTGATACATCAACATTGCATGTAGCCATTTGTACGCGTAGTCACATAATACTTTTAATATTTAAAAAAGATATTTTAGAGATAGTTTATCGCGGAACTAAATCGGATAAAAAAAAAACACATTCCTTCATTCTATTCTTTAAGTTTGGTAAGTCCGTGGCTAATCTATAATGTAATTGAATCTGCCAAAGATCAATTTGAAAAATAATTACCTTTATCAGATAAATTTCTTACGTCGATGTTCTCTCTAATCAATACGTGATATTAAGTGTGATTAGAAATTAAATATAATTTATAAATCCTTGAAACATGATTTTGTTTATTCCGATGTATCGTATATATTTAATTCCGACGATGTAAATAAGATAGATGATGCTCGTTAAAATACTTGTCAGATAAATTTCTTAAATCGATATTCTCTCTACTCGATACGCGATATATTAATTGATTAGAAATTAAGTACAATTTATAAATCCTTGAAACGCGCATATAATATTGTTTATTTCGATGTATCATATAATTAATTCAGACAATGTAAATAAGGCGAGGCTTGCGGTAAAATACTTTTCCAAGGATGAGGCGTGACAATGAACAATTAAAAAGACATTTGTGTTAACATTTTGAAACATTTGCATATAAGAACGTATTGTTAATTTTTGCAAGGATATGTCTCTCAATGGGTGGCATTTTAAGTCTTTGTGACTGCGATAATTATCATTCCATTGCGCTACGCAAGTGGAACTTTTCGCGCACAACGAGCTGCCTTCGATGGGTGCCTAGTCTACCGTCAATAGTAATTACGCAGATAGTAGTCAAGTCCGTGATGAGATTATACAGGGTGACCCAAAAGATGCGTACCAGTGATTGAAAAAAGGATAACTGCAGCATTTTCCTTTGTAGCTGAAGCCTTTTCCTTTAAAAGCGAAAGTTTAACCCGAGAAAAGGAGCTTCTTCAAATGTATGAAAGTTTAGATAAAGATTTTTGTTTGTGCGTCAAATTAAACAAAAATTTTATCAAGAAATTTTGAGGTGTAAATATCTCATAATGCAATAAACCAGGAATTTTTTAATGTTAAATCGGTTTTTTTATTACTTACTTAAATGTATATAATATTTGCAGATGAGAGAAAAATGTTTGAACAATTTAACGCAAGTATTTAGATCTTTGATGGAATAAGATTTTAAAATTAAATGTATTTCTCGGATTAATTTTTTTTATACAATTTTGAATGCACTTTTGCCTGTAGTGACGCATGTTTTGGGTATCACTGTTAGACACGATGCAGTGTCTCGCACTTTATTACGATGTTATCGCGATAAGTGTGATGAAGCTACTAGCTCTTGCATCCATCAGTACTCTCGTGTGAAGGTACCGATACAATTACCAGCACACATGGTGGTACTGAGAGAAAGAGGAGGAAACGAATGGCCGCCAATGAATATACACGTGATGTAGGCGTGACTGCATTTGCCATTCAAGCTTTTTGCGCAAATTCCTGCCGACATTAGATCGCGCTCAAGGACCGGTCTGTGATCGCATTCATATATAACGCGGTATAATTTGGTACGAGAGATACTTATATATGTAATTGATAAAAATAATATACAATTAATTATTGATAAAAGAAATTAAAATTGTAAAAATGTATTGGTGAAAAGATGCATTTTTTGAGCGGAAAAATACACTTGATTCACAACAAATAAGAAAGAGAGAAGAGAGAGAAAATTATAAATTTTTTCGATTGCAATAAATTTCTTGAATATCTATATAAAATACAGACAAAAAATGTGTGAACACTGAGATGTTAGATAAATTTAATGACTCAGTTATAGTCATTCGAAATACGAATAAAAGTGTTGGTCTTTTGAAATGCAAAGTTTGGTATATCAAACGAATTCTTTTTTTTTATGTGTGTGCAAATTTTTATTGAGAAAGAAACTTATGTTAAGAAGATCAAATACATACTCAGTGCGATATCTATGACGTGAATGCAAGATAACGTGATGACATGTCACTTGCACCGTATCTTAATGCACATATATTGATAATCTAAATTTTTGGATAAACTCTCTGATAATAAACTCTGTGTCTTTTGAAACAAATTAATTAATTTAATGCTACGACAAAGAAATCTTGACATTTTCGATAATTATAAACCTCTAGAATAATTGTAGAATTATCGAAACAGCGCAAGTAGATGGAACGATATTAATTAAAGGTATACTTTTAATTAAAAAATTCGATTCTATTATTTAAATAATTTATCATTTGAAAGTGTATTATTTGGTAAATTGCTTGTAAATCTCCTTAGATAGTCTTTCGGTCTATCGAGTGAAGAGATTTAAAAATTTGCCAATCAAAATCTCGTCGGATTCTTAGAAAAATTAAAAATTTGTAATTAAAAAGTTAGTACGTTGCTTAATTTATATCTTTTTTCGCAGGATGGTCATGTACAAGAGACGGCAGTATTATGCACCCGGTCCATCGACGATACCGAACAAGAGACCGGGGTTGTCGAGCGGTAGCAATCTGTACCGGAAACGGATCGCGTATACCGAATTGAGGGACATGAACAACGATTGATGACCGCTCGTCGTCTAGACCGAATGTCGATTTGTTACATGACTAGTGAAAGAATGTATACGCGCATAAATATGTAAAAAGGAAGAGAACGAAACAAGGTAAAAGTGCCGAAAACGAAGGCCCAGGATGAAGTCACAGATGTTCCTAAACGCGCTGGAGTTCTGCGGAGAAAAGCGAGACTGACTGGTATCATTCGAGATATGGAAAATCCATCTCTACCGATGAAGAAATCCAGGTGTCCGAAGGCAGACTCATCGCTTCAACTCTATGAAATGGAACAACGACAAGATGACAAGATCCTGAAAGCGTATATAAAACCAAAGTTTGATGATTGCACTTGGTTCTGATCGGAAGCTTCTGATAATGTTCACTTCCGAAAAATTCGGAGAGAGAGAACGAGATGAGGAAGAAGCAGGTATAGTATATGTAGTGTAAAAATTAAAGAAAGAGAAAAATAAAATGTATGTGTGAAGGTATGTGTGCATAAGACTCCAGCGACAGCAGGATTTAGTTTTAGTTTAGCGAAATATTAGACAGAAAAAAAAATAATGGAATTATTTATTGACTTCTCAACGAAAGAAGGTATTGTACAATGCGCAGGATCTTATACAGCGTCCTTCCAAGCAGGATCTATTTAAGCGTCAAGGAAGAATTAAACTCTTAATTATAAATACGCTATCAACCGCTTCGATATTTATCTTATCTTTGATACGCTCTTCATCGGGCTAATTTTAAGATTATCTTGAAAATAATCTCTTTACGAAGTGCGAAATCAAAACACTTTAACGACCATTAAAGCATTGAGCTAAAAAATCCTACGGTGCCATCCAAATATCGTACGTATGAAAATTAATTAATTCTACACAATGTTATATACATATGTATTATCCAGCGACTTTTCTTCGCGACGTGAGAAAGTGCACGCGTTTTTATGAGTGTTATAATGACTCGCGAGAAGCGATTTTATAATGAAGCGATTGATGAAAAAAAATAAGTAGCGATAAAAACAAAGATTTGCAAGTACGAACAATTAAAATGTGTGCGTGTAAAAAGTAAAAATGCGAGAATGACATAAAATGAGTATATGGTTTATAGAAAGATGTGCCACGTGGAGGCAGGATATTGCGAAATTGTAAATATAAATAAATAAATAATTTATTTATTTAACTTACAAATAAATAAATTATTTATTTTATTTATTTATACACTTACAACGTATGGATATATATAGACATAATTTAGAATAAAACATAGTGAATAATTGATGATAAACTTTATTGATGAGATAAATTATTGAGATCGTTGTATTTTTGCTGATATTTTTATAAACGAGTGAGCATGTTTATCCCGCGTTATATTAACGATCGATTCGCGGGGCTTTGTTCGCTAAAAATCGATGCGTCGTGTATGACAATTTATTTATTATTATTCCCTTTTTTTAAATCAGCTTTGCGTTAAACTTTATGATATTGTAGGAAGGTTGAAAGTTCCTTTGCCGATCTTTTCGAAAGAGCTTTCACGCGCTCAATTAGTTTTATTCTCTAGAGCGAGTATGATTTTATGGTATTTATATTTTTTTCTTTTGCGTAAAGAGAAGAAATTGTAGAATTATCTTATTAGAGCTGCCGATAGAGCTACTTTTTAGAGCGTATATGTAATTGCAACTGTTATTTTGCTCTCTCATTATTACGTATTTTAAGCGCATGCGACGACTCCAAATGATATTGTCGTAATTTTTCACGATAGGGCATTTCTCGGAGTAATGTTGATAGATATCCATCAAATGTATAGATGAGCATTTTTAATTATATATACAATAATATAAAAACCTAATTTCTGACCAGTGCGTGTATAATATCGAGAGTACCTGGTGTTTATTTGACATGTCCGAGAAAATCTCTAACTCGTGCATTGTACGGAACTTCTCTTAATTACGAATGTTCCGCATATTACGACCTAAGTTAAATTGTAAATAATAATTTTCTATATTATATATATATATATAAAGAGAGAAGAGAGGGGAAAGACATCATAATTAATTTCGTAAATTGTATGAAAAATTTAATATATTAAATAATTCTTGCTCTTTTATATATATATATATATATATATATACATATATGTACGTACGTATGTATTACTTATATTTAGCTAGAATTTGTTAGATCGTGGAATTAAATTGCCGTACACGACGCATTTAATTGAATGCCTAGAACAAGTAAAACGGACAATTAAACGAAGATACAGTCGACTTATAATAATTACTAATAGAGACCGACGATCTTTTGGAAGAATCACAGATTTTATCATGAGTAAGGTGTCTGGCGTCTTGCTTGCTTAAATACTTGGCTCTTGTTGTCATTTCCTTATTTTTAGACTATTGCAACCACATATATATCATATGGATCATACTGCCAAGAGAGATGCGATAAACATGCGAATCTAAGATGAACGACATTACGCAATAATTAATCGGCTGAAAATATTTTAAATCATGTTTTACTATAATTTAAATTTTAATTCAATATTATTCGTGTATATACATACATAAAAGCACACACATACTTGATAATATTAGAATATTTCGAGTGAATCTTCGTTTAAATAATTATGACAATGAAAGAAATATGAAGGTAGTTCAAGAGTACATCATGGAACATTAGCATGTATTCTTTTTTATCACAAGTGTCCTAAGTATAAATAGATTCTATATCTTTTCTCGAATGTTAATAATTAGACCTCTTGATATATAGTATATATACACTTTAATTGTGCAGTTTTTTATATTTAATCATTTATTCAATCTCGATTTTAATCTATTAGTTTGCATTTGTAAATCGTATCGTTATATAAATGTTAAAAAAAATAATATGAGAATTATCACGAATTATAATTGTCTAAATATTTTATTATAATGCAATATAGATTTATATCGTTAAAAATGATTTCATACAGTAACGCAAAATGCGTGTTCTAAATTGTTAATTTATGTTTTTGATGAATTTATTTTACTCTCAAGATTATATACGAAAAGAGTGACTACAGAATTTCGCTTTTCTTCGACAAAGTTAAAAATTTTTAAAAACTCGATAATATACTTGAAAAAAAATTTTGTGAACCTCCTTCTTGTTACAATCTTTTTTATGCATAAAAGCTGCAACGAGAGAGAAAAAGGAATGCGGTTGTATATATATATAATAAAGTTTTACACAAATATCAATTAGTATATATATATATATATATATATATATATATATATATATATATATATATATATATACATATATATAGTGGAGATATCAATTTGTTAAATTTTGTACGGCGGTAATTTGTGACACTCGATTCGATATTTGTATAATAAAGATCAAATTGCAGATGATGAATGATATATATCTCGTATTAGAGATACGCTACCTCAAAGGAAGCGTTCTTATATTTTAATGTGCGTAGGTGTGCGGCGAAATTCGCATCACGGTCGAAGAAAATGCAATTGAAACGAGCTGGATTTCTCTTCTAATCGTGATGGGACAAAAACTATCAAAGGTTTTTTTCACGGATAGATTTATCCTTATTTAAGCGCGATTCACGATTACACACAAAGACGCGAGTGATCTATTTTAGTTACTGGATAATCTTATTCACTGACAAGAGCAGTATTAGCAGAGAACGTACGAAAGTGAATGAATTAAGCGTTTTCTGCTCTGAAAGCATGTGTCATAAATGTTATGGAAAATATAAATGCATCATATGAGTATTTTCATAGATTTGCGCTGTAATAAATGTTAATTTTTGAAATAATTATTAGGGGCATTGTGTTGACTTTTTGCATCCATAATAACGTGTAAAAAGAAGAGAACACATAATTACACACATAACTTATCGTTAAATTTTTTTTCCTAATATTTTAGTATGTATATTAGAGAGAAAATTCTCTTCTTCTTCTTAGGTCCTTTTACTATCAAGCTATATTTCGCTCATATTTTATAAAAATGATTTCGCTTATTCTAATTCAAGATTGTAATTATTATATAATTTATATGCGTTATATGAAGAGAATGCGAATTTCAGCCGCGTGATGAATAACATGAGCGATCAACAAATTTCGAAATAAATGCAGAAATTTTAATGCAAGATGTAAAAATATCTGTATTATATGTACACTTGAATAATTGTGATACTTAGAAATAAGTAGGTACGTTTTTTTTTGCTGTTTTATGATGCATTCAGTTTTTCTTCTTTATCTCCACGTTATTTCGACGATGCTCCAGTTGTATTTAAAAACTGACTGATAATAGTTAAAAAAAAATTTAGTATTTGTACAAATATTATTTTGCCTGCAATTCTCTTATCCTGATAGAAGAAAAGTTTATACACACACATATACTCATTCATATATATATTTATGTATTATTATATATTTGTTTGACGATCTTACTAATGCTAGTTTTTTAGTGAAAATTAGAGAAAATTACATTTCGATTATAAAAGCAATTTTATGCATTACTATTTCTGTTCCATTCACTTGAAGATAAGTTAACGTAAGGTAAGTATATATCGTTACCTTATTACACTATGGCTGGAAAATAACAACGCACGAAATATATCGTAGATTGTAGATGATTATTTGTATTTGTACACAATACTATAACAACAAGGAAAAATACTGAATGAGAAACAGATGCCTTATTTGGTGTATCACACGGGCGCAAGCCAAAAAAAACATGTCGCAATAGAGCATCTATTTGTTGACTATATTATAATTTAATACTCGTTACTAATAGCAAGGAGAAAAAAACTTCTATACGGATTATATTAATGAAACACATTCTCGTTTCTTTCCTCGGTTCCATCCATATATAACTATTCTCACATCGTTTAAACATATACATTACAAATACATACAAGTTACACAAATAATATGGAATATCATAGCAGACTATTTTTACTTTATACAATACTTGAAATTTACTTATAATGAGCATATTATATACTTTACGCACTTTAGACACTTGTGTAAGTCAGAGTAGTAATAGTTCGTGGAAGAAAATGCGATTAAGTAATAGTACTGGCTCTGCGTCTTGTGCGAATTTTATGCAATTTTTCAATTTTTGCAATATAAGTCGTATATAGAAAAATATATGTAGATTATATATATCGCAAAAAGGTTTACTCGATAATACATACCCGCAGTAAAGACTTTCATTTAAATTTTTACTTTCGTAAGAATCACTTGCGCATTATTGTTCGAACTTTTCTATTAGATAAAAAGTATCTTCTTGCCTTTCTTTTCTTTTTGTTTCCTAAAAGAGTATCCTTAATATTCTTTATAAACTTAAGGCAATGTTTTATAGAAAGTTTATATAAACATTATCGCAAATATACTACAAGAAAGTTATTAATGCATATTATCTAAATATAAATGTTACTTCATAATGTTTATCTTCTAACGAGACACATGAATATCTAGATATATATTCTACCCAAATAATCGAACGATGAAGTAAAATGATGAATGTACATTTATGGTGTTATATAAATTTGTAAAAACAATTACTATTAAAGAGAAATTATTCAATTGCAAAGTAAACTGTTTTACAAAATTTAAAAAAAGTTATACATTCATCATAAAAAACTAAAAACCTTAATTTCTAAAATTTCTCGATTATACAAACTTCAGTAAAATGTATGCAAACGTGAAGTCGTAAGTAAAAACAGAAATAAATTCTTACATCTTTCGTAATATCGTATTGAAGGATCGCGATATCCCACACAATAAAACATTTCTATTCACAAAAACAAGTACAATAATAATAATATAATAAAACGTGGAAGAGATTATTTATAGTCTCATGTCGTATGCGTTTTAATTTACTAGATATTATATAATAACGAAAAGGCCTGTGAAAGCTAATAAACTATACCTAGAACACAATATAACTATTAGTAGTGAGCAACATTTTGATCAATAAACAAATTAGATTAATCCAGAATATGGGTTTGATGTCGCGTTCGACTACAAATAAGAAATAAAAGAAGATTATCTAAAATCAACGCTTTGGTGCATAGATACACATTCACCTGTTGACAATCGCGTTTTCAGAATAAAATTTTTTTTTTTTAATATTTATAGGTAGCCGCCTAATTTTACGCGTGATAACCCTAGAATAAATATTTATCACAAAGACTGGTCTAAAATATATATATATATATATATATATATATATATATATATATATGTGGCTTTTATAGTTTTTTATAAACTTTCTAGTTTATAAACATCGCGCACGTCATTGTGTTTAAGAACGATTGTTGAATTAAATATTTGTTAATAGTTAACAAAGATAATTTTTGTATTTTATATTTTTTTCGGACATGCTTCATAAACATCTTTGATTAGCATCAATGCTCATAGAACTGAACATCATTGATTGAAAAATTGTTCAAATTTCAACTTTTCAGCTTTTTCAAACAAGATAATGTTTATAAATTATTATACGAATTTTTCATAATTGTTAACAAATATCGCGAAACATACAGGGTGTTGAAAAAAAGGATAAAATATTTTAAAGGGATTTAGTATGTCCAAAAATAAGTTGTAAAATCTTAATAAATATTTGAGTCCGTAAATAAGTCGTTTTTGAGATATTTTAATTTTATTATTTTTTTATTATTTTATTCATGTGAATATAATTAAATTACATTATAGGTAAGTTACGTTATATTAAATTCTCTAAGTTATATCAAATATCTTAAAAATGACTCATTTGCAGACTCATATTTATTAAGACTTGTTATAACGACTTTATTTTGACACATAATCTTGAGACTAAATCTTCTTAAAAATATATCTTACCTTTTTTTTAACACCCTATATAAATAAAAAAATCGATATAATTAAATCTATGACAGAAGATTACATTTTGATTCGGATGTCCAAAAATTGTATAAACATTGCGTTTTTTAAAAAGGCCCGATGTATGTGACACGCACTATAATAATACTAGTTACAGTAGAATTTAGTTAGCCTAACTATTTACAATTCATACCGCCTAAAATTTGCTATGTCAGCTTAACGAGAATCGCGTTAGTAATAAATACGATTACGATTACATATAAGTATTTTGCTATCGTTTCGGTTGTACTTGTGCCGTGATTCGCTGATCCATTACTAACTCCGTAGTATCGAATTGTACTCGATTGTGTATTGGATTGTCGGATCAACGTTCACCGTAGGTCATTCTTAGGCAGTGGAGGACCAATGGAGAGTCCTTGCCCCTCATAATACTACAATTCATTAAATTTATATACCATTTACAGCGGAATATTTATATCCCACTTTAAAAACTAACTGCGTTCACACACGAATACTCAGTGGCTCTTCACGAAAAGTTTTTCGCACTATACCGGTTGCAAAATTGTTACATGCGTTAGCCTTTTTCACATTCCGACTTTAAACCGCGCTATCGGCGTTCTCGCTCGCATGTCGTTCGTGATTCGTATAACGCAAAAGAGGATCATCAACATTTATGGTTCCCATTTCTTCTTCGTTATTAGCAGAATTAGACACGACCCCTTCTGATAATTATAAAAATATATTATTCATCAATGATAAGAATTAATAAAATATTAACATATACATACTACATATATATAAATTATAAATTATAATTTATAATATAAATAATTATTTGATATATGTTATTAATATTTTATATTAATATAGTAATAAGCTAAGTTCTCTTTGGAAATTTCTTTATTACTCACCTGGTAAGCACAATTGTAGCTGATCATTGCTGGGATTAGTGCTGTCTCCAGTTCCACTATCTTTGCTGTGCTGCGAGCTCGTATCCAGATACAATTGCGTTTGTGCTTCCGGTACAGTTAGTACGACGGTCGTTGGCGGCGAGGCAGCGGTGTCCTGTGCGAGATTCAAACGACGTCTGGTTTTGTAAATGACGACCACCCAGATCACGGAAGTAGCAACGGCGCAACACACAACGGTGATTATTATCAAGCCCAGTATTTCGGAGTCATTCAGCACAGAAGTCGGAGCTGTGGAATGTGACAAAGATATAAGGCTAAGCCAGGCAAAACTCCTTCTGCAAAGTCCTTCGTATTATAAGTGTCCTAATTACCTGGATTGACCGTGAGATACGACGCACCGATTACGCTACCCAATGAATTACTCATCTCGCACTCGTAATTACCAGCGTCGCTGGTGATCGTGTTAACGATGATTAATAACTGATCCTCGGCGGTGAAGAAGTGACGCTCCGTTGCTTGCAATGGACTACCGTTCTTTCGCCACAATAATTTCGGACGTGGTGAACCGCCGGCCATGCATTCGAGCACGATCGACCGCCCTACCATGATTTCTTTGTTCTCCATCGGCTTTACGAAGGACGGTGCCTCTGTAAAGGAAAAGCATTATAAGTATATACATATAAATTAACTAATATATTAGTATATTATATATATATATATATATATATATATATATATCTTTGATATATTACAGAAGGAAATAGTTCTTTACCCAATATAGTAAGGGTAGCGTTTGCAACAATAACGCCAGCTAAATTTTGCGCAGTACACGAATAAACTCCGTTGTCGGCCATTTTGACATTTATTATAAATAGTACGTCGTCCGTCGGCATCATGTGCATACGTCTCTCCCTCGCAGCTGGGAACTCATTACCACCATCCTTTTGCCAGGCTATCTGCGGGGCCGGTTGTCCCTCGGCGGAACATTCCAGACGGGCGGTGCTTCCGGCATTTACTCGTATGTCATGCGGAATTTTGGAGAAGGACGGATAAACTATAGAAAGAAAAATGCGTAAAAAATGTTACTTAACCCATTAAAATATATAACTGCTTAGAATCTTAATTTTGAAAAATTACACTCGCTTTTACTTAAAAAATCTCAATTAATTTAGAATTTATAATTCTCCAAAAACATTTTTAAAAAAATATTTATTACTAAAATTATTTTATTCATAATAATGCTCTCAAAAATGTCGGTTGATTAACATCTTGCAAATACAATTAACGATAATGAACATGTATAGCTTACCCAACACAGTCAATATGGCTTTGGCAGAGTACGTAGTTCCATAATTATTTGTTACCATGCACTGATATTTCCCCGCATTAGCGTGAGTGACATTAGTAAGGTATAACGTAGACGTTGCCTCGGTTGCTCCGCTCTCAGAGGAACTGATGTTGGTCTGCAAATTCATCCCGCTTAATTCCACATTATTATATTTCCAAGTGAAATTAAGTGGCGCGTCAGCGGTGCTGGTTGCACGACAAATCAATGTCACGTTGTCCCCTTTGATGCTCATTTGACTCATGGGTTCTTGAATAATTCGTGGTTTTGGGTATTCAGCTATAAAAGAATAGAAGATAGTTTAGTAAAATTTAAAAAAAAAGAGAAAATTATAAAAGATAGCAAAAAACATAAAAAATATATTTGATGTATTACAATAATACTGACCACAAGTAAAATTTGCATGATGTAACTGAGTTAACGACATGCCTTGTAACCAATGTGGATAACCGCAGGACAATTCAGCTTCGCTATAATGATGTTCTTGCAACCACATGCTTAGCCATTGAAGTCCACAATCACAAACTAAGACTTCTATATGTAAAATTAAAAAACGCAATGACTTAAAAATATAATAGAAATATAATTAAAGATACATATATGGGATTACACAGAGATATCCAAGGATAGCTATACATTTAATTTATATATAAAGTAAAATTTTATATTTAACTCACGGGTGTTCATCTTAAGTTTGCTCAGACTAGACATTGGAAAAAAGGCATTTTCCTGAATGGACGTAACATTGTTTCCGATTAAATCAAGCTCATTAAGGCGACTCAGACCGGTGAAAGCATCTCTATGTATGGATTTTATTCTGTTATGAGCCAGACCCAGTTTCCATAATTGATCAAGCGGAGAGAATGCATTACCGATGTCCTCTACCATATAGGATATCTTATTTGAATTAAGTTCCCTTTAAAACAGAACAACGATTATAATATAGTATAATCACAAATATAGCTACAAGATATTAAAAGTATATATGCATACAGAATGCGAAGATTGGTCGTAAAATTAAATGCTCCATCTGAGATGTATGCTATCTGATTATGATCCAGTTTAAGTCTTTCTAGTTTTGTAAGATATTCGAAAGAACCTCGGTCTATAGAGGTCAGCTCGTTATGTGACAAGTCTCTAGAAAAAGTAAAAGAAATATAATTAATAATTTAAAATAAAATTAGTAATTTATGTAATGTATAAATCGTTTAGTGTTTACAATTAGAAGATAATTTAATTGTATGCTGTGTATTATAAAAAAATATTGTTACATCTCCAATATTTCTCTGCATATATCCCATGCTTGAGGTTCAATCGTTGAAATTTGATTGTGTGACAAGGTAAGCTTTTGTAAATGTTCCAATCCGAATAAGGCACCTTTCTTCACAGTGGTCAGCACATTAAAATCAAGATGTAATAGTATCAAATTTTTAAGTGGCCAGAAAGCTCCATCATCCAACTTATCAATTCTATTTCTTTTTAGATGCAATTCCTCCAGGCTCTTTAAATTTTTCAAACTTAATCCATGAATTTGTTGTAAATTATTTTTGTTCACCTCTCTGTAACATATTAATAAATAAATCTCTTATAGGTAATATTTTACATATAGATTTATAAATATTACAAATAACATATAAAATAAATGCTTACAGCTTTCGCAGTTTTCCCAAATTTGTGAAAAGATCTTTTAACTGTGTTAAATTGTTTTTATTTAAACGAAGCTCTTCCAATGAAGTTAAATTATATAAACTTCCATTTTCAATCATTCCTATATGGTTTGCATTCAAATTTCTATAAGTGTATAAAGACATTAGATAATATATTAGTATAATATATAGACTTATATAAAATGTGTGATTAAAATACATACAAATGTATAAGTCGATTAGGAGCAAGGAAGGAATCCTTTTGAAGGACACTTATTTTATTCCCACTGAGATCCAGATATTGAAGCTGTTGCAAACTAAGCAATGCAGTCCCGTTTATACTAGTAATTAAGTTATGGGATCTATAAAAAGCAATTATAATATTAATAATCGTAAAATTATTGTCATATTAAATATCATTAATAAGATATTCATTATAAAAAAATTATATTTAAAAAATTCTCAGTTTACATATACTAAATACTTACAGCGTAAGATGAGTAATATTCTTAACAAATACAAGATCTGGCACTTGTGTTAAGTGATTTTTATTCACTTTAAGTTCACGTAATTGTGCAACGTCTGACAAGGCGATAGTAAAATTATCTCCAAGTTTATTAGCACTTACATCTCTAAAATTATAGAAAATCATAAATAAATATATATTTATTCATTAAAAATCTACTGAAGATATATGTGTTAAATGCTTACAATTTCTTGAGTTTCTTTAAGTGAAGTAATGAGTCAAATTCCAAATTAGCAATATTGTTGTCCTTTAATTCTCTGAAAAAAATCAAAATTGAAATTATATTTATTAAATAATCACATAATATTTAAAATTAATTTTAACTTTCCTTTATAATTCTTAATATATTTATGTCAGTATCTATTTAATCTTTTTATATCAGATATTTTGTAAATGCATATATTAGCATAGAGACTAATAAATTTAATGTGTAAACACAATTTAAACATAAATATAATGTGATACAAATATAAATATGTACATATAAGAAAGGTTTTGCAGTTTATAAAGAGAATAATTCTTCCTTTTTATTTAGATTGTTATATAACAACATTCTTGGATTGTAACTATACCTTAATACCTTAAATAGCATAGACATAAATCTTCCTTACTTAGATCTTGCTATCCTTGACTCTGAGCATTGGAAAGTTTTACAATGATCAGTCATCATTACATATAGCACCCTACATGGCAGGCAATATAGACCTGACCATGTATTTGTAGAGTCAGTTTTATCAATCTGACTATTTGGTACAATGAAGGGACAAGCAACCCACATGCAGCCATAACAAGCAATATTACCCTTCCTGATTTAACTTCCAAATAATATAAAATAATAACAGTTATCATCCAATAAATAATAAACTGCTATATATGCAATATCCGCTGTTTACTAATTTATATTTTACACAAACAAATAATTTGTCAATTTGTGTATATTAAAAAGAAATTAATTTTATGTATAAATTACTGTAAAAAAATGTATCTTTAATATTTCTCCCTCTAATTAACATTTAATGACATTCTTTTTAAAATTGTTTAAAATTATTTACATATCAGGATATTAATTATTATTGTTAAATTAACAAATTTCTTTATAATTGGCATTATTCAATATGTATTATCTCCATATTAACAATTAATATCAATAAATAATATCATTTTAAAAACGTCATAGAAATAAATTATAAGTCTTTAGATAACTGATCATGCAAAATGCATATGTGTATATCTTGTCATTTCTATTGCAAATTCCTTTAATATCTTATCTATGTTAGCTCAGGTTACACAGAGAGTATACAGTCCAGTTCCACTATGCTATCCCACGATTGGCACGATCATTCTCTTAATAAATAAACCCTAATCGTAACAATGAATAAAATGTATTCCGCAATTCCAAAATATACCCTTTCCAGATAGCATTTTAAAGTGGCTTTACTTATGATAATTCGCAACAAACATTGAACAACATTACTTCTTCTTCTTCATTAATAACAATCAGCACGAGAGATTCTTTTAATAAATAAACCCTAATCGTACACCTTCATTCTAACAATAAATAAAATCTATTCCGTACTCCAAAATATACCCCTTCTGGATAGCATTTCAAATATTGAGAAACATTATTTCTTCTTCTTCCTCAACGACGCCCAGGATTTACTCACAGAATTTCCGTCCACGGTGGCAGTCCACTAGGTGCCTCGATCAGTTGCAACTCGCTACAGGAGACCAAATTGCCGAGGCAGGCGCACTCGACCGGGCAGCTGTCCGCCTTGTCGTAGAGCAACCTCGTCGAATCGGCGACGCTCGTCGTCAGGACGATCAGTCCCAGGAAGCAGACGGCCAACAGGATCCACCGTTCCAGGAGACGACGACAACGCATCCTCGTCGAACACCGCGACATCGCGCGTCAGAAAAGGACAGGCAGACAGAGAGAGAAAGAGTCCAACTGAGAGATTAATCGGTCACCTCGGGACGCTCACCGTTGCCCATCGTCGCGGAGACGCGAGACGACGTCGTTCCCGGACGAGCGCGATGCCATAGTGAACGAGAAGACGACGCGTCCCCTTTCCACACGTTCGATCTCGCGCTCTATTGAGTCAAAACAAACTCTCTCGCCTCTTCCCTCAAAAACGCGAGAGCCCACGCACCATGATGACGCCTACGGGACAACCCAGAGATGGACCAGAGACCGTGTCTGCGCGACGTAGGCGGCGTCATCTGGCGAGGCATCAAAAGATGGGTTCGTGACGCCGGATCCTTAAGGTCGCCTCACAACGAATTCGTATCTAGTTTTCAAAGAGCCTAGGATTTTTGTCCGGAATTGATCAAACGGAGCATATTCTACGTGCTCTTTTATTGTTCATGTGTCAAAATGCGAAGCCGGTTCTTGTGCATATTCTGATGAATGAATAAACATATTGGCGCAATATCAGGTAATATCGGAGCACAACTGAATATCATATTTATTATATCATACTTTGTTCAGTAATAATCAAGATCTGAAAGACATAGGAGGATGAATATGGAGGAGAAGCTGTTGCAAATTTTCGAAGATGTTGAGTGAGTAGCTGCAGGTTATTTTTTAGTTTAGAAAAATTTATAATTCCAGAACTTTAAATGTCAAAAAAGAATATATAGAGAAGATCAAAATAAAATAATTAAATTTTTATAATAATTATAGACTTGTCATTTATAAGTTTTTGTTGAAATAATGTGGAGCAGAAAAATTAATAAAGTTCTTAACAATTTTATAGGTACACAGGGCCAATGCTTAATGGTGACAAGCTGTCACAAGCCCTGAAACTTGGTGCGAAATCGCCAGATTTTACTAGTCTTGTAAGTTGGTTTGCTCAGCAACTGGCAACATTTATCGACATAGATGAGACTGTTCAAGCTACAACAAGTGCAGACGATGCTAGTTCCTTCCTTTTAGAATTAAGCTTCTTTCTTAAGGAAATAGGATGTGTAAATGAAAAACTAATGACTGGATATGTAAATGAAAGACTTGCTAATGAATCTGAAAGAGCTATCTTGATAGAATTCCTAGCTACAGAACTTATGGCTTGTAAATTATTGGAAGTAAAATGTCCTAAAGAGGAAAAACAGATGGAAGTTACTCTTGTAAGTATTTTAACCAATAATAGTTATAATCTGTACTTTGTATAGACGTCTGCTATTGCATATCATTCTGTCTTGTAGATAACAATAAAAAAAATTGATAATATTGCAAGATATATATCTAACTGTTCTCTCTATTTACAGGATGAGAGTGATACTGCGAGAAGTTTAAAAAATATTCTGGTAACATTAAAGTTTCAAAAACCACCAGACAACATTGAGCCTCAGTTATTATTCTCGAGACTAGAAACTAAATTATCAGAAGTACTAAATACTGTATGGTCTGAACATTTAGGAAAACCACTTATAGATGTAGAGCTCTCTGCTAATCAATGGAATGAATTAAGTAAATTGCAAGAAGAAATGCATAAGGAGTACACAATTCGCCGTGATATGTTGCTTAAACGCCTTGATGTCACAGTTCAATCATTTTTGGTAAGATTTGCCTTGAGAATATATTTTTTCCATATAAACATATAAATTAACAATTATAAAATAATTATAAAATATCACTCAACATATAATTTCATTTATAGTGGTCAGACAGGATAAAGTCACAGGAAAATGAGGTAAACACTAGATATGAAGAAAGAAGAAAGGTTCTAAAAATAGAGCCAAAAGTAACAATGGCAGATTTACTGGCAGCAAGAGATGACCTAGCTATAATCGAAAAAACTAGTAGCGCAAGCGTTCGTAAGAACACGCGAAGTAAAATCAATAGTGTCATTATCGGAGCGGTGCCAGACAGAGGTGGCAGACCATATGAACAGGAACCACCTCCACCAGAGATGCCTCCATGGCAGAAGGACAGAGTCCAAGGACCACAATCATTTCAGTAAGAATCGATAAAATGATATATAAAGTAACTTTATACAACTGAGGCATAAAAAAAATTAATTATTTATATAATAATTTATTATTTTTTCTAATAAATTTATATAATAATTTATTATTTTTTCTAATAAATTTATATAATAATTTATTATTTTATATAATTTTTCAGTAATAAACTATTTATATTTATTAATTAAATTATAATGTTTTAGGGGCGGAAGAGGAGGTGGTGGAGGTCGCGGCGGTGGAGGTCGCGGAGGCAACAGAGCAGGAGGAAGTGGTGGCGGTGGTGGTGGCGGTGGTGGTGGCGGCTATCACGATCATAAAGATGCCAGTAGCAATTTTGGTCAAAACTTAAATTATCAGCAATCTCAATACTCTGGACAAGGACATAGAGCATGTTATCCGGATCATAGAGATTCAGGAGGATATCAGAGAGGTGGTGGAGGAGGCGGAGGTTATCGAGGAGATTCTGGCACGAATTACGGTCAAAGCTACGGTCAAAGCTATGGTCAAAGTCAAAATTACAATCAAAATTATCAAGGCCAAAGCTATCAACAACCGCAGTATTCTGGTCAGAGAGATTCTTATGGAAGTGACAATCGAGGTGGTGGAAACTACTATCAGGAAAGAAGAGAAAGTGGTGGTAGAGACGGGGGTGGAAGAGGAGGCAGAATTCAAGGTGGATGGAATCAAGGGGCAATAATTCTGGTACGAATAGTTATCAACGAGGCGGCTATAATAGAGGCAGGGGTCGACAATACTAAATTTTGGTCATAACGAAGACTTGTGTCACAACAGTTTATGATATTAAAATAATTATGTGATGATATTAATAATAATAATTATTATTCACGCTTATATTTATAACTCACAGATAACACAAAATGTAAGTGTTTGGTCTCAAAATCTCTTTAAGTTTAAAATGTCTCTAGATAAATTTTGAATTTTGTTATTTTTAGGTCATTATTTAATTCACAATATTTAAAATATTATAATATTACTGTTAAAAAATGTTATGTATATTACTCTTGCACTTGGGCCATTATTTAAAAAATGACAGCTTTTAATTTTTTCATAGTCAATCGAAATGTATACATATATATATATATACATATATGTTTTCCACAAAATTAAATATAATAAAAATACAATTATGTAAATATATAATTGTTTTGTCAAAAATAGATGGTTGGAATTAATTTATAACACGAGATAAAGACTGTAAATTAAATCATGGAAATATAATAAATTGTGCAAATATAAAAATGTACACAAAAATATATGCATGTATAAATATAGAAAAATAAATATGTAATATTGCAAAAATATACTTGTATATGTAATTTTCATTAAATCCTTAATATTTTAAAAATTTGTCACATTCTGTATTCAAAGATGACAATTATTTCTGGCAAATATGTTTTTAAAGTGTATCTTTTTATATAATGTATAAATATAATATATAATATTAATATTAATATATTTAAATAAATTCGTACAAATTTGTAAAATGTAGCAATATTCAAATTATTCATTAAATAAATTAAAAGATTTCTTACATAAATTTAATTTTATGAAAAATAATCCACATAAAATATTTTATTATTCTATTTCTTTTATTTTTATTCTTATATATTTCTTTTTCAATTTGTTCTTAGATACAATTAAGAAGAAATAAAAAAGCGAAGTAGATAATAAAATAATTAAAGACAAATAAATTCAAAAAAAGAAAATCATCAAAAAAGAATTATTTAAAAATTTTTTTGGAAGACTTGATGCGTACCAAATTTACAGTATAGTATAGTTATAGTATACATATGTGCTATATTCTCTATTTTTGTTTGTGAACAGAATAAAGGTTATGCAAGGGAGACGATTTTTCTGTATATAACATATTAATATATTCCAAAAAATTCAAATACTATTGCATGTCATACTAAATTAATATGGCTATTCGTTTACACATGAATAAAGAAGACTTAGCCAAGCAAGAGGAGTCTGAATTACATCTTATGCCATGTAAAATTCATGGTGACGAAGCCGCAAATGTTTCCTCCTATTTAAAGCCTTACATTCGTAAGGTTGATGAAGAATGTAAGTAATAGAGTAAAACAAAAGTTATACATGTATTATATAAAAAAAATGTTTGCAATATTAATTTATTATTTTATTTTAAAGATTATGATTGTTCATTCCGTGGCTATCCACTTCAAGGGAAGAAAGTCACTGTACCTGCTGGATACAAAGGCATGACATTTATGGAAAATAAGAAGGCAGACGTTGAAAATAAGAGCCGTAATTTGTATTGCACAGGAACGTTTTCAGAATTCACATATTGGAACTACGATAGAATTCCATCTAAAAATGATGCCCTCGCAGCAGCATTGGATTGGATTGACATAGCTAAAGCGGTGAGCATTTTTGTTCATTGAGACAATTGTATTTAATTATAGTCATTGTCATGATATATATATACTGATCTATAATTTCTTTTTAGTTACATTCATCAGAAACATAATACCAAAAGGAGGTACAATTATTTCAATAACAGAAAGATATTAAAAAATTAAATCTCTTGTTTGATAACATATTTTTATACTTTGAGAGAAAAAGGAGACAATAAAGATTCTTTCTTTGTGTATAACAGATATATTTTTGCAGCATCATAATTGGATGATTATGCCACAAATAATGAGCATACAATAGGCATAAGAGTCTATGACTAAAATGCGTGAAGAAAGTGTAAAGAGATAGTGATGATATCAATATAATCTAATTAGCAGCAACATTGAAAGAAACAGAAATTTCTATTTAGATATTCGTGGACTCGATTGCTTTTTTTAATATAATAGTATAATATATCTTAAATTAATTCTGCAGATTTTTTTCAGAGACAGATTCGTTTTATATAAGATTATCATGTTATATATGTGACTTTATATTAAATGCATTTAGTGCCACTATTGATACTTTGACAGCCATCGTTGATTAATGAAGGATGTATCTGAGAACATCCATATATGCTATCTTATATGAATTTACAAAATACATTTACCAATATATGAGTTATTTAGGCCAAAGAATCCCAATCAATTTGTGATAGTGTGTGATGTCTACAGAATTGATTTCCGAATATACATTAAAATGGAAATATTTTCACTTCTGTATTGTATAGGATCATTGGCAGTGCGAGAAAGTGTGCATATGAATGAGAATTACATTTTACATTATCCTGATATCAATAGAAAATGCTATAATAGAAAAACGTAATAATCAAATTATTACAGTCTCAATCCGAATTTTCTTTGGCGTTTTAATAATACTGAGGTATATGAGATTTGTAGAACTAATCCAGAACTTTGTGTGAATATATCATCTTAAAATACACAAATTCTTATACATTCGTTCATTCTTTTATACTCTAAATTATAGTAAGCCTCTGTCTCGGTATAACAAAATAATAAATATAATAAAATAGTTCTATCTGTGAAATATATTTTTTTTCGCATGCGAGCGTTGCTTACTATATAAGTGTCGCTAATAAAATAAATTTTTCAGATTCTAGGGAGGACCTATTTACAGTAATAACAATTACAAGAGTTTCTAAGAAGTTAAAAATAGGTCCACTGCGTATCACTTTGTTTCACTCATGCAAAAGCTCTCTAATGTTCACATATAAAATTGTGGAAGTAAATGCTTGTCTTATAAAAGACGATTAGTTCTGTTACTATACTGTTCATATATTATGCTAAACATATTTTATATATTTTAATCTCCTCTTATACGTATAATCAGACGGGTATGAATTCCTGCCTGTTCGATTTTAGACCGAGGCCAGCAAAGTGAACCCTTAGGCGAACTTGGAAGGTGTCTAACAAGCGGCAGATATAGATAGATTATTGGATAATCCCTCTATCTGTCTTCTCTTCGTGATTTAATATTTGTTTTAAGCTAAATGTATGTGCAATTACATTAGTTTATAATATAGTATATTATTTCCGATGAAGATCTCATTATGCCTTAAATTAGACTTTGTTCGCGCTTAGCATTATGGGTGTATATGATTCTAGATTAAATATTTATAGATATACTCGTAAAATTATACAGAATTACAATGGATAAATAATTCATACACGATTTCCCCTACTATTGCACAATAGTTGCAACATCTTTTGTTTCTTTTTGTACCCTGATTTTAGAGATGCGTATTTTCATACACATTTTCAGACGACTGAATTTCTTAGAACGTGAGATATGTTCCGTTTTAAATGCAAGTTCAAAAAACTGATTCCGTAAAACTGTTTCGCATGGAAATGCAAATTTTTGGCAGTGATGATTGTGATCATAATACATTCAAGATTCCAAAAACATCACTTTGTATAAAAGCAACTATATATATTGCAACGGGCAGTATATATAAGTAAAATGCATATTAATCTTTGGTATTGTCCGCGCGTTCTTATAATCTCCGACAGATCTTTTATCCAATTAGATATAAAATATCAAAAATCTACTTAGTAAAAAACCGATTCGTGTATATAATATATAGATATATATATATATATAAAATCATGTATAATATCTATATATTATAATATACATAACAAAGAAGATAGAAATATTGAGAGCTTCCCAGTCTTACATTTCATAATTAAGATCTACAAAATTCACAAAAAAGCAAGCTGCCAAATAATGCGCTCTGTACACATTTGCAAGAGAGAAACAAATATAAAAATTAAATTTAATACTATTTTATACATGTTGAAACGTGCCTAATTCATTGGTTTGCTCCTGATGAAACTTATTCTGATCCTGTTGCTGCTTGATGAAAGCGCTGAGTCTATTCAATAAGAATTGTTTATCATGGCCCTCCAAGACCAACTGATTCTTCAACACCGTCACCATATGCTTGTTCGCTATCGACACCGCGTAATAGTAATAGAGGAGCAGAGCAAGAATGACGAAGGCCGGTATACCGAAGCCAGCTGTACCCAGGAAGAAGAGGGTCGACTGCAGCCAGTCGGGGAAGCGCATGAACGTCGCGATCAACAACATCCACACGGATTCCCATTCGCGAAACGGTCCACAGGATTTCGACGGCATGATCTCGGCGATGGAATAACCGACCGGTATCACCGCCAGGATGAAGGAGACCAGCAGAATAAACATGAACAGGGAGTTCGACCTACTCGCGCGATAAATCTTACTCGACGGGGTGCTGTTCACCAGACAGGTGAATTTCTTCACGTAGAAGAGCAGATACGTGCCGGTTATGGCGATCATTGGTAGTAACGGAGCGAAGAAGCAGCCGAGCCAGCAGATCGTCTGCGAGTAGACGATATCTAGCACGTGTTTGGGCAGATCGAACTCCTGCTCGCCGACGAAGCGCAGGACTTTGTTCTCGGTGTGTCGAGCGATCAACGAGCGCGGAAAATTCACGAAGAACGTCATGAAGAATTGGATGAAGAGATCGGTGGTGTACAGCTTGAAGAACTGCTGTCCCACGAACGTTTCCCAGCAGAGAGGCTGCTTGTTCACCCTGTTGGCGCATTCGTTGTCCGGAATTTTGTCCGCGACGAGTCTGTACAGAGACGTTAACAGAACGACGAGAGAAGCGAGTCGAAGAAACACGGTTCTGAACAGCGTCACTCGAACGACGTACGACGGACTGTAATTTTCTAGGGCGACCAGATAGCGAAAGAGGAACGGAATCGCCACGTTAAGTCCGACGATGCATACGTAAGGAAGGAATTCGAAGAACAAACGAGCTATCTCGTAATCTTGCGCCAAGTACGTCGGCAGCTGATCGAACGAGAAGTCAATTACGTAATAAATAAACGTGCCACAAGCGCTCAATACCGTTAAAACCAATAGATTTACGACCAGACGTATGAAGAAGAGCTTCGTTTTCTCTTCCCTCGTGCGATTCTGTCGCTCCTCCTCCATCCTCTCCGCTTCCAAGAATGCCTTCATCTCGTTGTACAATGCCTTGTGCTTCACATCGGCAGATTTCTCATTCTGAATACAGTAGTCCCAGCCGCCGAATACCAGATTGCAGTATTGATAAAACTGACCCTCGCCCTCCACGACTCTTTCCTTGAAACCTTTGGCGGCCGATCGGACGATCGCTACTAGGCTAACGATGAAGACGCTGATTATGGCACAGATGTAGGACAGTGGTGAATTGTAATACAAGTTCAAATCTATGCAATGAAAGATCTTGTGCGTGTACCAACCGTAAAATAGCGGAGTGTACTCGATCCCCTGTACGATCTTGGTTATACTATCACTTTCATTGATCATATTCTTGTATAATTCGGAGCAACAGGCCACGCTGGCAGTGTTATTGTTAGACAAACATATTTCATTCTCAGGCGTCTCAAGCATTGCCGGCAACACTATTAATACAAATATAATCGCAAACAAAAATAGATTGAGATACATCAACCATTTTATAAATAAAAAATACGCTACTATGCCCATTCCGAAATTTCCGCCTATCTTCTTGAGACTGTCGTTCCACAGCTCCATTTTGGACCAAGTCTCCTTCATTCTTATGCGAAATTGCTGCCAAGCTTTCCTACGCTGCCACTTTAGCTGCTCAAAACCTTGAAGTCTCAATTTTGTGGCACTCTGAGATGCCATATATAAAGATTAATACAAGTTATATATTAATTGTCATAAAAAGAAATAAGAATGTTCTGAAATATACCTGTAACTGATTCTTCAGTTGTATCTTTTGTGACATGCATACAGGCATAGCTTTGATCTGCATAATTTCTTCCCAGGTACGCTCTTCGTTGGACAAGTTTTCTGAGAGATCCGGTAGCATAGATACAGCTGCATCATGTATATTGGTCGACATACGCCTTGACGTTGTAGTGCCACGAGATCGAGTGCTCGTGCGTCTTCTCAATGTTGTCTTTGTGTCATTTCGAATTCGCTTCGCCGTGGCTGCATCAAATGTATGTTTAAGATACAAATGAAAAAAATGTAGCCACAATTCATCATTTCTTAAGTTTAAACTTACCAACACGAGACTTCTTGCTAGGAAGCAAAGTGGCGATATGCGAAGGATCCCTTTGCAGAGCCTGTTGCAGATCTGCTTCTATAGCTGCTGGATAACTCTCCTGATAGAATTCAGCACCAGCCTCCTCCCATCCGTGCCCCCTATCGCAGCCTCTCTTCTTCCTCTCTCCACCCGACATCTTCGATCTTTAGAATATAATTTCCGTTCAAACTAGAGTCAGTCACGTGTGGAAATAATCACGGTCTTGAAATGTTCAATTTTGTACAACTCGATACATGACTTCAATAATGGCCTTCCACGTGTTTCACCAACTGAGAAGAATCTCTTGTTGAATTTTTACATGCTGTTTAAAAGCAGCCATAAGAAATATTGCTCATACGATGACGCATACATGTATAACTGAAAAAAAAATCTATTATTGGCGTGAATGTTTCACTCTCCCCCCGGGGTGTACACACACAATAAAATAAAATAAAATCGGTGTGTTACGCGCACATACTTTTTGAGATCGGCTCTCGCAATCATCGACGATTTTCCATCAATCGAGCTTAATGACAGCGTTGACAAATTATCCTTTAGCCGTCGACAATATCGTGACTCTGGCAGACCGCTAACGTCGCTTCGCACAAGCTGACAGCACTTTGACAGCGTACGTCGTTGTGTGTGCAAGCCTCATGGGGAGATTCTCGTGCAAATCAGATCAACGTAACGGACGATGCCGCGTTTGACACTTCTCAGATTTTTGAAGGATCGCGACGAGTGGAGGCATCACGGAGCCTCGTCGCCTGCTGATCTTGTTTGTCTCAAACGTCAAACTCGTAGCTGACAGCTCTAATAAGCGGCTGCCTAGAACAACGAGAATCTACATAGACAAGCGACTCGAACTTCAAACTCGCGATAGATTTGGGTAGAGAAATCTGAGAGCGGCCACCGGGATTCACCGTGTACTAGTGCGCCCCCTGACAAAGTAGACATAAACTACGTCATGACACTCGGAAAAAGCATGGTAAATGGTTCGATTCCGCGATATGGTTCATGTGGGGACGTACTACGGGTCCCGATTCGACAGGCGCCTGTCGAGACTTAATAACAATTTGATGAATTAAAATTATGTGAAGACATAATAATAATTCAAGAATTTTTATTCTGTCGAGACATAATGTAAATTCATTAATTAAAATTATATCGAGACATAATTAAAATTCGATAAATTAAAATTATTTCGAGACATAATAAAAATTCGATGAATTACTATTATCTCGAGACATAATAAAAATTCGATGAATTAAAATTATGTCTCGAGATAATTTTAATTCCATCGTATTTTTGTTATGTCTCGATATAATTTTAATTCATAGAATTTTTCCATTTTATATTGATATCTAGACCAATCCATTTTATAGTGATATCTAGACTTCGGATTATATGCAAATTGCATATTTGTTACTTTTCGCACGTTCTACGACAGCATTTATAACGTGAAAAAATTATAATAGTTTTAACTAATTAATGTTTATTAATTTAAAAAATTATAATTTATTCACATTATTAATGTTCTTGTAGAATATGCAAAAATAACAAATATCGCGGGAAAGCAGCATCAATACTTGCGAGAATTAACGGAACATATATTGTAAATAATTTTATTTAGTACGCACATGTAAGTATATTTATAAAATTAAGGGAAGACTTCTGATAAGGGAATAAAGGGAATTAAGGGAATAAAGAAGGTGCAATAAAATGCAACGAGATTTTTATTATATATATATATATATATATATATATATATATATATTTTTTTTTTTTTTTTTTTTTTTGTCGATGTACCTTTAATCTCTGTGTCACAACAATACAGAATCTCCGAAAATATATTTTTTGATGAGAAGCTTGAAATATATATTGTGCGTTAGAAAAACGATAGCCGTCTCATATGAAAAATATACATATATATATCTATGTTTCGTCGTCTCACAGCAGAGCCGGCAAAATAACATTTTATCCAGATCCGATACCTGGTGAACAAGAATCATGGGCATCCGCAGGAAGGGTGAGGCAAAAGAGGGAGGCATTTGCTCCCTCTCTCTTGGAATTATATAGTAAAAAAATTAAGCACTTGCTCTTCTTACTGTGAATAAATATTGGAATTTATATTTGCAATTTTATATAATATAAAAAATATTAAAATAATAAGAAAATTGAATTTAAAAAATTAAGAAAGAATAATGAAATAAGAAATGAAAGAAATTTTAATCATGTCCCTCCTTGGAAAAAAAACCTACGAACACCCATGACAAGAATATATAGCATAAACATACGCATGTCTAGCCGAGCTATATATATATATATTTGCCGTTTAATTTGCACTCTTCCTATAGCGTGCGACCGCAATTATATTCTGTGCAAAGTAAGCAGACGCTAGATATAGCGCATATCACCGGCTTATCGGTCAGTTCTACAGCATCTTTCGCGTAAATGTTATCTTGACTTGTAATATAATTAGACTAGTTTGCACACTTATGAGATTCCTCCTCCATATTTTTCAATATAAACACGTCGATTTTTCTATTTTAAAAAAATTGACAAATCAGAAACCGTCTATCTTATTCTAATCGATTTTTCTTCTTTCTTTTTGACGATGACATCAAACGACTTAAACATATGATTGAGATCGCCGATCTCTGAAATTGTCATCTCTTTTTCGCAGAACTGCCGATAAGTCGACGACTTCTATTCCTGGCCGAAAAGTTTCCCTCGATGTTTACTGGACCAGGATCTCGAATTCGGGAAAGGCGACCTCGGCACCACCGAAAGGTATGTAACACACGCTATGAGAAGGTTGCACCTTTCCGATAGTCAAAGTGCCCTCGTGGTGCACGCGACCGATGAACAATGGTTCGCCATCCTCGGTCTCGCCACCCGGAAGCGCGTTTGGCGGGATGCTTCCGCCGCTTACTGGCACCCACGTAGGATTGCAGCCGCAAAGAACCTGCAAGGAGAGAAGTGATAAACGATAAAAATCATTCTCTCTGTAAAAATTAGAAATTTTCTTAAACGTGCAGCTTTGCAAGTACAGGATCGATTTTGGGTGGGATATTACATTCATATATATGTGTGTTTGATTATTGAAACTCTCTTAAATGGAATTAATGTATCATTAGAAAGTATAATGATTTCAATGATAATACTGTAAACCATTAAAATCCCATTAAAAGATGATCAATTAATGACTGTTTTAATCAGTAATATTTGGAAGTGCATCTTATAATATTTTATAAAATAAAATTTATTTATGTTAAATGGTTGAATTTTTTATTAAGAATGCTATTCATTTTTCAGAGTAAAATATGTATGTAAAATACAAGATGTAAATACAAGAAAGTAAATCAAAATTTTTATTAAAAATTAATAAAATATTAAAATCTGATTAATAACTTATGCCTTGATTAAAACTTATTTTATACTAATTCAGTTTAAGAGAGTATAACAAATTTCAAGAATAAGGATCTCGATTAGGATCTCTCTTCATAAATTTATTCGATAACTAATATTATATAGATACGTCTGACAAAAACATTTTACAAATATACAATTCTCGGATTTCAATCGCATTCTATGATATATATATATATATATATATATATATATATATATATATATATGATCCAATTAATATCCGACTCGTAAATTGCTACGTGTCTCTCTTTGGATCTATACATATACTTACTTGGTAATCAGTCTTTCCATGCTCCTCGCCACCCCAGGCGACGTAGCAAACGGAATGGCTAGGCTTTACCTTGCCGGGAATGAGTGCACCCTCGTGATGAGCCCTGCCGACGAACAAGGGCCCGTCGTCGTTTCCACCCTCGACCGCATCAGGCGGAACCATTCCGCCGGACGCGTCGCACCAGCATGCACTTCCGGCGTCGAGTCCGCGGACTTCCACCGGTGCGGACGGCGTCGCGCCAGGATCTATAATCACGTTCTTACCCTTAATAATGCGACAAAAAATTCTCGAAATTATATGTATATTGATACGGTGAAAAAAATACCAGAAAGTAATATAATGCAGCAGTGCATCCTCATTCAACCAAGCTAAATTAATACGTTTGCCTATGCATAAATTATGTGCTATAAAATATTCCATGCGATTAATACAATGAGTGTTTGAGGAATAAATTGAAAACTGGAAAAAATAACAGAAATATACAGACGTATGCAAATTATTAGACTCAAATCTATTTTTATGTTGAGATTACACAATTTTTTTGTGTTTTATAACAAACACATTTATTTAAGTTTTATTTTTTTAATAAAAGATTTAAGGTTTTATAATTTTTTTACTTGCAGATTATTCGGAAATATTTTTTTAGTAATAGAAACTTATATTGAATCATCAAGCACTTACTGCGTGTCGATGATGTTTGTGTTATAAAATCAATCAGTACCAGCAATACGACATAAACCGGTTGCTGATTCAATATGAGTTTTTATCACTAACAAGGATATTTCCGAATAATCTACAGATTAAAACATTATAAAGAAATTTTCAATCTTTATAAAAAAAATAACATATAATTTAAATAAGTGTGTCTATTAAAAAAACGCAAAAAATATATCAATGAAGTAATCTCAACATAATAATATGTTTGAGTCTAATAATCTGCATACGTCTATACGTAAAAAATTTTAGAGATGTTATTTATTAATCATACGCTTAAAAATTGCATAAGTCGGGAAAAAGGAGAAAAGCTACACGTATAGTGCGTGAGTGCGTATATACAGATTTAACATCGCAGCCAAGCAAGAAGATCTATCACCTCTCGACGATCTCGAGATCGTCAATGCCATTTATGAATCGCGCGAAATTATTGCACAACGTGACTTTGTCACTCGACATTGACCGATCTCGTTCCAGGTAGCAAACTGATATCATTAAACGTCAAAATGACATCATTTGACGTCGAATGACGTCGTTTTGACGTTTAATGACGTCAGTTTGTTAAGGTATCGTCGTATAAAAAAACAGAGATATAGAAATAAATGTCCAGAGAGAAATTATTACGTTTCTTTTGACCGGTAACTGCGGGATATTGTTCGAAACGAAGTTTCCAGTTTCCGGTCGCACCCCAACCGGTGCGCACCCCCACGTAGCTCACTCCGATGGGATTCGGGTCTCGCCACTCCATAAGGACAGGACCGCTCTGACCGCCCGATCTGATCGCGACGAGGCCGTCGAGCCACGTGATCGAGAACCTCTTGTGCTCGTGCTCGCTGAGCAGATTCGGCGTGTCCACGCGCACCTGAACGGGTTTCGGAAAATTTCCCACGTGAGAGCGAAAGAATCGTCTTTCTATCCCTTTAATTCGGAATCGCTAAAACGTCCCAATCGCGTTGGATCCAATTTTACCGGTTCCGAATCATTAGCGGAGATCGTTTCGAACCTTGTCAGGCTGTTTGCGATCGTATCTGATAACCGACGCCTTGTTTTCCCACCCGCCGAGCATGATCTCGTACATGGGACTCGATTCGCTCTTCCGGTCGGTCAGCGCGATATGTCCGTTGCTCTTGGCTTTCACGTCGATCAACACCGAGCCACTTCGCACGGCATGGAACTTGTACTCTAGTTTGTTAGGGGTATTCAGGGGATTGCGACCTTATCGAACGTAAAAAATTACAATGAAGACATTTATCTATATGGCGGTTAAAATTATCTCTAAATTAATGTAGAATAATTTAGAAATTTTACTTGCTCGTCAAGGCCTTCCAATAAATTTTTTTATAGAATAGTTTAATTTAAAAATCTGAGGAAAAAATAGGAAATTGAACTCTATCATACAACTTTGTCTATATACATGTATTTGCATCATGTTATTTTTAATATGCTCTCCTTCGAATTAAAGACATTCCTAATTGAAGACATTTACCCATATAGCGAATAAAATTATCTTTAAATTAATGTAGAATTTAATTAAAAATCTGAGGAAAAAATAGGAAATTGAGCTCTATCATACAACTTTGTCTATATACATGTATTAGCATCATGTTGTTTTTAATATGCTGCTCTCCTTCGAATTGAAGAAATTCCCGTACGATATTTTGTGTTCTTCACTTCTTACTTGAAATGATGTAATAATGTAATTTTCATTAGGCAAAAGCAGAAAAGCAGTCAAATAAATAAATCCTAATATCAGTCAATATATGTGGGTGAAAATCAATCGTGTCTATCTACGATGCCTGAAGGTCTATCATAACGTGCTGTGTATCGATGTGCTGAATTAATATTTGTCTCTTTAAATTATTAAATGTACACCGAAAAAATTATTTTTTTAACATGCATACTTTATAAGTCCTCTTAATAGATATTCTTAATGAATAAAGATGTTTCTCTCTTTATGTGATGCTTTTCGGAATATCTTCTTAAATTAAGAATATATTCTTTAATTCCAAATAATACACTGATAAAAAATATCATTAAGTATATATTCTTGCATGTTACAAATATCTAATAAGATAATATATCTAATTAAAAAATATCTCTTTGGAAAATTTTCTCTTAAATTAAAAGGATCTTTTTGGCGCCTTTAGAAGAAGATATTATAAAGGTAAGTGACACATATACTAATATAAGAATACAATTTTTTCGGTGTAAGATTTGTATCAGAAATCTAATTCTCTTTGTAAAAAAAAACGCTCTTAATCCAGCATCAATTATTTTACAATTACACGTGATATATAAAGGGGATAATCCGTGCTAGGAGGGAATCAGACATACCCGGGCGAACAAGCAGAATCTAAGAAACGATCACGTGCGACTATGCCATGGTTCTCATTGCAATACAGGATTGCTTTTCAAATACATTACGTACAACCACCGTAACCTCCGCCGCAGCATATGGCTGTGCGAACCACGATGCATTAATAGATCGTCCATAATCCGAAAGAATGCCAGAAAGAAAAATCAGAAAGTGTCAAATATCAATATATGAGAGTATAGAAGAAATTTGGTAAACTTATAGAGAAATGGTCTATAATTATACATTACGAGTGTATTATATATACTTCTACCTACGTATCTGTAAAACAAGGTGGATCGGAAGAAGACTATATATCGAGGGCTGAGAAAGCAAAAAGGATTGGAAAGATAATTCGTATCGTTAAAAAAGTGAGAGAAGAAGAGACCTTACCTTCGATGAGCCAGTCACCGGTGGCACCCCAGCCGGTGCAGACGCCGAAGTAACCGATCCCGAATGGTTCTGGATCGCTGTAGCTCAGGAATGGAGCCGAATCGCCTTCCTTGCCCACTGTGAGAGTCCCGTCGTTCCATCTGCGAATTTCGCGAATAAAAGAAATGTTACATAATACACGAGCGGAACACAGATTTAATTGATGCTAATCAAACTCAAGTAATAACAATGTAAGTTGCTCGACTCCTAACGACACTTTAATGAATGGAAGAACAAGTCTGCGAACTACCGTACCTGATCCAAAAACCGCGAAACTCGTCGGCGCTGAGGATGTCAGGTGTTTCTGCCTCCATCACTTCCGGCTTGGTTCTATTTTTGCGCACGACGGACTTGCTGTTACTCCAGCCTCCGATAAAAACCTGAAGAGAAAAAAGAACGAGTTTTGATCATGCTTCGTCGCAATTTAATTATCATCGCAAAGCTGGATTTTATTTTAAAGCTAAAATTTATAGCTAGAAAGGCATCTGTTGGCTCTCAGTTCTGCGTAAGAATGAATGAGAAAAAATCTCACCTCGTACATCGGGTCTCCCTCCTGGGGCCCCGTGGTAAGAGCGATGTGAGCATCGTTGGGCGCCTTCACCCGGAACTGGATCTGCCCAGCCGTCACGGGATAGAACTGGTACTCTAATTTATCTTCGGTGGAAAGCGCTGTAAAGGTGAAGGACTACATGAAGAACATCGAATAATTTATCTCGCAGTTTTATAAATCACAAAATCAGCTGATCAAGCGCGAGCCTCGCGTGTTAATTAATCATCGATTCTCCATATCCGACTGTCTTGTGACGCGCGAAAATGTGTTGATATCGAACATCCAGACATCCTGACGCCAACCCGACCCTATGACTACGTCAAAGAAAGTAGGACAATGCAGGATTCGATCGATATCGCGCGCTGGTAGTGATAATCATGTACGTGACTTACGTCTAGTGATTCGATCGTGATTTAATTTTAATGATAGGTATATAAAGGTCAGTCTCGGTGCAAACTGATTACATGTGTTCAGGCTTCTGTATACAGTTTAGTTTTAAAATGTGAATCGTAAAAATGACGCATTATCGATGCGTTCGACGCGCACGGATGAGTCATTGTCAATTACGTTTGTCATCAGCGAGGAGATATTTGCGTATAACGATGTATGATAAAAATGTATGCTATTGATAATTTTAATTTCAATGCTGCACGCAAAAGTCTGATAATCTATATATTCTCGAATCGAGTTGTGTATATGCGCCTATAAATCCGTTCGTCTTAATAAATCATTTTCTATTCCGGAAAATGCCGAGATGTAAGATGAATAAACGGTTATTCTTGGTCCAACAAGATCACGTTTCATAATGACAAGTGACAATAAATTCTAATAATTCTAATGAATAGTAATCGCGATGATCCCTGGTGGATTCTTTTATTTCGGAGATTTTTAATCTTCAATTTTAATTCAAAATTAGTCTTCAAAAAAGATGAAATAATGAATACGGTCATTCCATTAATTTCCACGTAATTTACATGAAACGTTTAAGCAAGAGAATTTTATAGCACTTTATTAATTCCGAGGTCGCGCGAAATAGAAGCGACAGAGTCGCGCGCATAACTAATATTTCTTATCTATTTTTTCCTATTTTCCGGTTGTGTTTTTCTTGCAAACGCGTAATCTGACTAACGCACGTAAGTAAGGGAGTAAACGTAACGATTATAAATAGTTGGCTATGCGTCTCCAACTATTCATCGACCGGTGACATCATACGCATTGTAAACGAAGGAAGGGATTATAAATGCGGGACGATTTGGCATATGGTCCTTGCATAAGGCGTATCCCTATATACACGTTATACACTGCACGAAACCTAACGCCGATGCTAAACTCGAGGTCATCGCGTTCAGCGTAGTAGGTCTAACGCTCTGATGTCATTCTTATTTCGATGTCAATTACTCGCACGACGTCCCCGATTTGGAATAATCGCCGCCCGCGGTTCTTTGAACGTGATGTGTCGCTGAAGAAATCTGCGCTCGCTCGAAATGCGACACGTTCAACAAAAATACTGATATCCATTGATGTCCGCTAATGAAGCTTCCGAAGATTACTTTGTTGTTTTGACCCCTGAAATCACATCGACGCTTTGACATTCGTTTCTCCGATACGCGCGACTCTGCTGCGAGATTTGAAAAGTTTTCCAAGTATATTGTAGATAAAAAAATATTTTTTGTAGACTCTTTTTTTTATCGGACGCGAAGAATAAGTATATCTTTCGTCGATGTCTATAGAGATCGTAAGCGGTTCGAATCGCGTTAATTTCGCGCGGCAAATTGATTAGCTTTCATAAAATGTGGGTCGTTTCGCTCGCAATTAACATAACAACGTGAAAATTAGAGCTATTGAGTCTGATTCACGTTGCGCAACTACGAATACCGTCATCTGGAATGTACGGAAAAATTTCACGAATTTTCTCGTTTGACATCATCTAAAATAAATTATCCGCGACATCCTCCCGAGAGTGCTATTAATTTCTGACATTTTCCGCGACATGAAAAGGGATTTGGATGGTGACAACGGTCGCGTGTGTCGAAAGAAAAAATAATACCTATATCAACCGGACTTTACGCTAAATAGTTGCACGCTAGTTAGTTCTACGGTAAATCACGATAGCTCGACTATGTACACTTATTCGTGGAGCGATTCGCCGTCGTGCTGTCATTGACCTCGCATGGCAACTGTCGTTGCTTTACTATATATGGTGCAAGGTGGAGAACGTAATTTAACAGGATCTACAACAGGTGCCATACTCGCCACCTAATTTGCCACCTGCTCTAAAACATCAAGGAACTTTCTATTGAATTTTTTCGATGATATCTAAACGAAGAAAATTTTTTCACAAATTTTAAATTAATATATGCAATTAAACAATATTTGAACGATACGTTAATGTTTCTACAGTTTGTTTAACTATATAAAAATATTTTCGTTGTTTTCGTATTGTTTTTTCGAGCATTGTTCTGTCTACTTGTCTCTTTTTTTCGCTGATTATGTAATACAAAAGTGAAAGACAGATTTTTATTTGTACGCGGATTTCAAAGAATGACAAACGAGTCGTTAAATTTTTAAGTAAACTCAGCTTTGTTCGTAGTTTTCTCGAGAAGCTTACGTGACAGAAAGGACCCGGTCGGCGGGCAAAGGTTTCATATAATTAGAGAGCCACGTAATAAGAACGCTCCAATTTCACGGTAAGATGAATGGGAAAAGTGTCCATCTTTCACGCGCAGTATTTTCATAACACTCCCAAGGATTCCGCTCTGATAATATCCAAACAAGGCGTACGATCGTGTCACGAAGACGACAAGACAATGGAGAAAATAAAATATTCCGCATCGTAAACGTGTATGAATGTTGAATCAGGAATAGTCGCGATTGAAAAACAAGATTTTCGAGAGAATGATAAATTAGTTTTCGCGCGGTCAAAGAGCGGAAGAAACAACTTTAGATGATGAGATGAAGAAGCTCGGAGGCGGCAACTATTGTATTACGAGACCAGCAATCTCTGGAAATCATGGATTACGTGGATGTGAAGGGGTCGCATTCCTATGACGTGATCGAGGCTGTTATACCCGACGAGGGGACTCGTCATCGGATCCGAGATCTACTCTCACATTCACTATGCCACTATAATTGCGAAATTTCTCACGTTAATACTCTGAAATTGTACAAGCTTTCAAACGTGGTATTTATATATATATATATTCATTAAATCGCACAACAGATACCAGCGCGATAAGTATACATAAAATCTGGGATATATATTATATATCTCAGATTTTATGTATATTTATACCAACATGTATTTATATCGGTCTCTGCGTGAATTAATGGATATTATCATTACTTCCTTTCGTTCTACATGTATTATATTGTATCTGAAAAACGAAGTCATACATTTTTTGTGTTAGAATATTTTTCTCGATTTTCTGAGGACAGAGCAATCTTTTTTTCAGATCAGATCCATACAAATTCATACAATAGTTCTTTTAAAATCGCTTGAGCATGCGACTCGATCGTATACAAAGTATCTAAACGCCGGCCGGTGTATCTAGCCAGCCGGCTTGTCAAACCGGCAGCCGCGCCCCGACTCTATATTTAGAAAGACCTTAGAAAAGAAACGGGATATACTATTCGCTTCTTAAGAAGAGAGCTATAATATTTCTTAGGTCTACAAACTCTATTTCCTTTGATTCGATCACCGTAAAATGGAATGAAAGCGCGGAAATGAATTCGCGAGGCAGAAGAAGACTCTTGCTAATTATTTGTTAAACCATTCAGAAATTAATCAACGCAAATACACGCAAATAAAAATTAATTAATTAATATCTGAGATATATTATACGACATTAGATTATTCTTCCTATTTCTTTATTTCGGAGTAACGTCAATTCTGCGTATATGTTACGTAATGTTACGCGTCAATGTAAACCGCATAGCGATCATAGTTAATCTGCTCCAAAATAGTCGCGACATGGTGATGAATAATGGAATAGATTCTATGTGAGAATTATACAAAACGAATCAAATATAGATTATAATCGTGTCGATTTAAAGAATCTTTCAAAATGTGACAGATAAAAAATGTCAAACGTCAAAATGTACACGAGTATATTATGACTTACAGACTGCCATGTTGCTCTTCTAGTAGATTATAAATTGTCCGATTATAGGAGATGCGGTACCACGATGTGCTCACAACGACGACGGAATTCGTACTGCGACGCGGCGCGGAATTTTAACGTCTTGGCAATCGCAAGCCGACGCGGCGGCTCGACGCAAGCGCGATGCGTGCAGGTACGATGTGTATGTATGTGAATGTTAATTAACGAGCGGGATGAGTCATCAGCGAATCGGCGACGTAGATAGATCGAATTCCGATACTCCAGAAAGGATAGATCTCCGTAGATCCGATTAATTGTGACGTACAGGAGATTAAAATTCTTCAGCCTTTGAATATATAATTTATCATCGCGATAATTGAACTGTGAATCATTAAGTTCTCTAATTAACTCTTATCTCATGTTTTAATATTATCTTTCGCTCCTTTCCCGATCGCAATAGGAATTTTACGTGCGCACTGTACTTGCGTGATAAAAGATCATTCTGTATCAGCATTGCACGATTCGCAATTTTAATAGAAAGAGAGAGAGATTGTGGTTTACTTTTTTAAATAATACCGCAGCAGCGGCGAATTGTTACAAGTGCTTATACATTGCATGTAATATCATAAACAACAAATGGCATGCAGTCATTATCATTCTTAAACGATGATTTCATTTGAACGAGTTAATAATAATTCTTATCGATCAGTTGAATTTTTTATTCGCGGTATATTTAAGTGATGGTCTATAAGTATCAGTTATGACGACATACTTAATAATAACTATGAAATAATAAACTTTAATTGGAATATATATATAAACTCATCCGTTTGACAATTAGATTTCCGCGTAATGTTGATTCTCCGAACGATTCACATGAATTATTCGGAGAATGCGCAGATTCAATTGTGTAAATTACATGCATATAATTACAATATTATTATAAAAATTAATGTATTAGTAAATATTAATATATTTTCTTTATGACCATCTTTATTTTTGAATTCAAATTTTTAATCTCGATTTTAATCGAGAAAAGTCGATAATGTACAGATGCACAAAATTATTGTAAATTACCTCTTGACGATACCTGTAAGCGATTGATGGTCGCCAGTTATCAACAGCTGATTCTGACATATTGAAGTATCCACATTTCATAAATTGAATTTCCATAGATATGTGAGAAATTCATAACATTCTCTCGATATAATATTAAATAAAAATATAATTATCGTGACAACAGATTTTTTAGCTATTACATATATTGCATGGCATGCATCAATAATTTATCAACTTTTATTCATCGAGGAAAAACATTCTTATTTACACTGCAGACCTTATGAATTAATTAAAAATATTTTCAACATTGCACACCTTTAACATTAATATCTAGCGATGCAGCGCTGATTACGCAATAACTGCAAAGTTGAAGATAATTTATTCTATACATAATATATTACAAGAGAAAAATAACATAGTGCTAGCAGGTATGTTTACAGCTGTGAATCTTAAATGTACAATCGTAGAATGCAGAAAAATAGCATAGCATTTATCTCTCTCTCTTTCTATTTGTGTTGTAAAAACATCGTTCGCTTCTATTAACTAATTGTAAGCAGCTAAATGCTTTTCTTATCCTCCTAACAGTTGACAATTGACGTCAATTACTTGCCAGTCTCGTTCCAGCAATTTACGTACAATGTTGCATTTAAACGAAATGAGAATAACTAGCGAAATAGGAAACTGACAGTATTTACATTTTCCAATGCATTGACATATGGACGATCTATTAATGCATTCATTAATAATCCTGCGATAATTTTTTCCTCTTACGATCTTATATTATTTTTATAATTCATTCCAACGTAAGAAAAGTTTGTCCATTCTTCGAAATTTTGTCAGCAAAGAATATGAATATTGTTTGATGCAACACACATATTATCCATATTCTTATCCGAAATATTACTCAAACGGCGAGCCTGTAATTTCAGCGATGCACATGCACCATCAGACGTGCACTGACCGGTTCTGAGGAGACCTCGTAAAAGACTCAAGCCAACACGACCCTACAAGATCTCGATGTGATCGTATAAAGCGAGACTCGCGAATGACAATTATAAAAAGATTCACAAGCTTAATGGCAGGAAAAAAATTAATAGAAAATTAAGTAATATATGGGTGTTAATATTGCGATTTTTGCTTATTACGAATCGCGCTAAAACAACTCGAGATGATAGTTTTTTTCCATCAGCTAAATGTGCAAATTTTATTCGCGTAATTGGACCATTTCAGCGTCATTGATGCAAGACGTAGGTCGGAAGGTCATTTCTTGGTATCGTTGTGTCGTGTGCCTTCTCTACACAGGTTTTCCTTCTCGCGTCCCTGAAACTGGTCCCAAGCAACGGTGAGCATCAAAGTCAGGTAGGAGCATTAGCGGTTGTTAGCCTTGAATTCTTTCATACAATACGAAGTATATCTCGTGGTAGAAGTGCACAATTTTTTCAGAATTCATTTTGCTGGATTTATTCAATGAATTATTCGCGACAAGTGGTGAAAAGTGGCCAAATATTGCCGTAAAAGAACAAACGAAACACAGTCCTTTATTTTCTCTCTCTTCATAGTCCCGACACTACGAAATACATATATATATATAGCTTACATCTCCAACAATAATTAAAACATCGGCGTACATACATCTAGGAAACGAGTAAAAGAAGTTTATATTTTACAGAAATAATAAACAGCGATTCCTGAGAATATATGTACGATAAAATGTCAAAAGTGATCTGATCAGCATAATAATGATACATTTAACGTAGATCGCATAAATCGTACATAGCATATAGTAATGCGTAAAGTTCGCCAGTGTATGGCACGAAATAAAATATATCTAAATAAGTATCTAGAGCACTAGATCTATTTTAAATGACTGTTTGTGTTGACGCTCGAGAGTTGTAACTGGTAACTCAGAATTATATTTTAGACAATTTTTATTTACATATATTAGTCAATCTTTATGTATATTAGTCAATTTTTTAATCACATTCCGTGTATTGTAAATTATATTTCTCATGTTAATCGAAAGATTAAAAATATTAGAGAGAGATAATAAAAAAATTGTCTTCATTTTTTTGTCATTCTCTCTTAAAGAAAATTTGAAAGGGAAAAATGATCTCATCTCTTCGACATCTGTTGCACAGCAATTGTCATCTGTCGGGATACACACCTTAAATAAGTCACATCGGCGATAAAAGCCGCCGTGACATCTCACTTGTTGCATCGGATGCGCGTGCAATAAACCTTGTGCAATGCAATTATGTCATGTCGGATTTACTCTCGTAAGCGTAGAGTCTATATATACACAAGCACGGCTATATGAATGGAGAGAAAGAGAGAGGGAGAGCTTTATACAATATCTTCGGGTCTTTTACATTTCTCGCGCGTCAGCAATATCGTACGCACTGCTTCATAATAAATATGACTTTATAAACGACAGCTATTCTTGCAAAGTTACGCATGTATATATGTATATGACGTACAATATCCACACACAGGTATATAGATCATTCTAGCACATCGCACCGGTTTGCGGAAGCGAATCTGATCGATATGACTGGCCCCGAGGACGGATCGAGATCGAACAGAGTTTTTTTTTATTTTATCGAAAATATATAGATATATATAATATATATATTTATATATATATCTAAAAATTATATCTTGCCATATATTATATTGTACATTAATCTAATTTATGCGACGATATAATGAGACGTGTTGCGGTGTGAGGCGAGCCGTATCGCAATTATAATATATTATGTTTCGTCTTATTCTCTATCGCGAAATGATGCGTTTCTACGTACATATGTATGTATGTACGCACAAGTATGTAGGCACATTTCTCGTTTCTTTCGTAGCTGCGCAAGCGATTGTTTCACAAGCGATAGTTTTTAATTAACGAGAAAGCTACATTCCCCAGGCGCGAAAGCGGACGCTTGTTATCCTAAGTGTCAGAAGTAATTGCACTTGAAGTAAAATAAAATTGTTAAACACGCTTATAAATAACTACTATACACGATGTCCCTGACCGTGAAAAAATTATCACTTAATAAACGAGGGATTCAAGACAATTGTTTTTTTGAAAAAGAGTCCTTTTTAATAGAATTTAAAAAGTTCTTGAATGTGATTAATAATTAAAATTATCACCGATTTTATTTTGACTGAGTCAGAGCCACGATAATTTGTTCAGATAATATATTTTAGATAGGAGATGTAAATTAACGATATTGCCGCAGCAAAGAGATAAAAAATATGGTCATTAATTACCTGTGTAACGAATTTATCTTTTTTGAAAATACATTTTGTTGATGCCTCGCATTTCCGTCAAGAAATATCCGGTTGATCAGAAATAATTTATATTTAAAATATAGTATCTCGATAGGCCCAGCAATGTAACATATGTCTATACAAGATATCTTCTAAAACATGGACACCAATGTTTGACATTTCAACAAAGAAGATCATGATGCAATTTTCGTATATAAACAGTGCTTCTGTTTTACGAGTACACTGTACAAAGTTTCAAGATATGTTCGATAATGACGTTCTACATTCTACGAGCTACAACTTATCACGTCGAATAATATAGGATATACATCGCCGTAGGAGAGCTAAAGAGCTCTATCAGATATTTTTAATTTATTTCTGTAGAATGACAGTAGAATTTTCTTCTCACCGTGAAAATTCGTTTCTCAACATAAAATTGAATGGATTATGCGTGCGATGCAACTGAATTACGAGGAAACAACAAAAGCTGGGGAAAACTCGCGAATCGTAAAACGCGAGTATATATTCGTTAATTAATCCAAAGGCACGTTGAACGCTGTCATTCGATGACGACTAGTATTAATCATCGTTTCGGGGTCGGATGATCCGCAAGAAACGAAGAGGAGCTCGATGGATCATCCTGCTTTCTCTTTTCCCAGATAAAGAGAAAAAAAGACAGAGAAACAGACAGACAAACCTTAGAAGCTACCACACTCCCGCAGGACGCGATTTCCCAGGGGCATCGGTGGACGGAAATTGTTGATCACCTGGGAGAAAAGAAAATAGATCTGCGTTAAAAACAAAGGCAGGATGTCCAGCAGACTTAATGAAAAAATTCCCTGATCGGAAATGAATTTTTTCCCTGACTTTTTAGTATTATTTTTTCCAAATATATAATTTGCATATAGCTATATGATAAATCAATTGAATGTGAAATCATGAAATCCTTGAGATATTTTTGTCAACAATGAGAAGGTTCGGAGATAAAACAAAAATTTAAATCAATTATACAATCTGCATTATGTGCGATAATCAAAACGAACATGTCACTATAAACTATTTAAATAATCACCTTTTTTATTTATATTATATCAAATTTTTCAGTTTTGTCTCTATCAAACACATTGAAATAAAATAACACGACGATGAAAATATAAATTAACGAGTCGATTTTTAACAACACAGAAAATTAACGTGCTGGGAGTCAAGGAAAAGTTTATATTTATTTAATAAAAAATGTCAAATTATTGAGACAAAAGTAGAATAGTGTGAAAAAATCCAGATAAATAGTAAAATTTTCTGACAATTCCAGATCTATAAAATTCCTTGACAATGCCCGGTTTTCCAGATTTCTCTGACCGCTAGACACCCTGGAAGGTGTCTTGTGTCGTCGCCGAGACGACGTCTCGCGGTCATCGACGTCCCGTGGACGCCTAAAAATAGCCGCGCATCGTAAAATAGCACCCGCTCGTTCTCGTATATAGCTTCTCTTCGTGTAGAGTGGTAGGTATATCGGACAAAAAAAAAGGAAAAAGAAGAAAAACAAGATATGTATCTCACGGCTGGAAAATGGTAATCGCGGCGCCGCAGAGGCGTTCGCCGACACGTTGCGCGATCGCCATTCATCGCCATTCATTAATCAAACGTGGAGAGGAAAGGGCGGGAGCGAAAAGCGATATACAGGAGAATTTTGTGTTAAACGAGGAAAAGGTGTCGTTGCATTCTCTCGTGTGAAAAGTCGAGGAACGATAAAGAGGAAAAAGTTTGATATATATGTATATTTCGCTTACCGCTCCGTGATTCTCGTGACACGGACACTCCTCGCCGCGAGGAAACTTTCGCAGATTGCGGAAAATGTTCAATTGATGATGGGACACCTCGATGTACTTTTTGAAGAGGATCCAAGTGACGCTCTCGTTACACGGCGGCGTCGTCAGCGAGCCCAAGTACGTCCAGTAGCCGTTATCGTCTGAACCATAAAATAATTTTAAGATTATTTCTCGCGTCTCCGCGTGTGATTAATTAAAGAATTAAAAAAATTATTTAAGAAAGGTGCGACTAATTTTTAAGCTGACACTTAAAGCGACGTGATTAAGAAATGTCAAAATAATTATTTATATCTTATATCGATAATAAATGTGTCATTTGGCTCTTTCGTTAATGACCGGATACTAAAACAACTTTAAATATTAAACATGTGTTGTAAGCTTTTCTTCGTTTGAAGAAGAAATAAAATACAAATGGCCTTTGTATTTGGATATTTTTTAAATATTATAAAGAATGTTTGATGCCCAGCAACTGCTATAATACTTGAAATATAAAACATGCAAATGTCTTTTATTGTGTTACTTATGAAATATAAAGAACTATTCGGTGCACAATCAAGATTTAATCAAGATTAAATTGTGAAGACACCAACATATGTGCTAGATTCAGTACAAATAAAAACTCACAGTTGGATATTCGGATATTATATTAATGAAAAATTATGCACTGACAGAATGAAATTAATAAGATGCTAACTTATGTATTTCGTCTTCCAACGATATAGCAAAAAATTAATTTCAAAATAGCTATCAATGAATTTAATTTAGAAATGTAGATATATGTATATCGAGATCGATTGTTTCATCGTATTACTTTGAGTTATGGGAATATTTATGTCACATATGTCGTACAAATTGAAGTTTAATAAGAGAAAAAACTGTGTCAAGAATAGAATTATATAATTTGATTAATGTATTAAAATAACGCCGAGAAAGTAATATTTTTTATATAAACGCGAACCCTCCATTCTATCTTATCTTTTGGTATCATCAACGTCATCCAAGAGACATTTCTCCGAAATAATACCGATAAGTAACAATGAGGACATTAGAGGATAAAAATCTACACATATAAAAACATTTGAAATATAAAACATGCAAATATAATATTATATCACACTTACAAAAAATAAAGGACGGTGCATTTTAATTAGATTAAAATTAATTTGCAAAGACACTAACATACATATGTGCTATATTCAATACAAATAAACACACGTATATATATCTTACAATACAAATTGAAAAATGTTAACAAATCGTCGGCAAAAATCCATATAAAAAAATATTATATACTTCATTCCTCTTCAGACGTTAAATACGTCTCTTTATCTTATAGAGCGTGAAAAAGAAATATCGATTGCTACGAATCCTAACATGCGTCCATCTCCCTATTTGACCGTGGTGCATTGACATGCATGCAGGGCTTCGGGAAATCGGCTGCTTATAAAAAAAAACCCGTAAAGCTTTTTCGAGAGGCGATACTCTGCGAGAAGAAGCGAGAGGAACGCGCAGCATCTCTCGTATCAGCTAGTCCAAGGCGATACGAACCTTGGAAGTCCCATTTGTTCTCGTGACGTGGTATGATTCGGTCGGCCCAACGCATGCATGGATTCACGCATCTTTGCGTGCCAGCCCGTCCGCCGCGCACTGCGAGCGCGTAAATGCGGAAGAAACTTCGTTAGTAACGTTAATGCGCAGGCAAACGTCATTAACGAAATGACAATGGCTACCGTGATAATGCGCGCATAGATGCTTCAGGAATTGCTGTTATTTTAGCACTGTTACTCTCTTAAATAGAATCAAAGTTTATCACACAAAGTGGTTTAAGTTTCGATTATAACGTTAGCACGTACATATAATGACATCAACGAAAGCTCGCTGAAAAAAATCAGTTATTGATAGTGGCTTTCAATCAATAATATTTTAAAATACATTTTTTTGTAGGTTTATCATATAAGAATTCAAAAATAATATGCATATAATTTTGTATTTGAATATTAGTTATATATGAAATCTTACTGTCATAATGAAGATGAATGAAATACTCACTGATTTTTTATGCAATCTTGTCATTGCTTTAATTAATATTTTCATTATAATTGATTGATTCAATTTAAAGGAGTAGCGTTCTAAGTTAGTCACAATTAAAATTAAATAAATCAGAATTATTTCAACTTAATTTATTTTTTATTTTTCTTGCCCCAAGTTAATTGATTAGTATAGGTCAGGACTATTACACCAATTACGAACTATTAACTAATAGATTTTCGCAAACAAGTTCCAACTACCGGTATACAACTGAATATTGCAAGAAGGACAACAAGGACATGAATCACGGACACTATGCATCACGAATAGACGGAATATCTGATCAAAGGGACAATTCACCAAATTGCATCGAGCGACGTCAACTTACCGGGAAGAAGTTTACCAGGGTCAATAGGTTCCGTAATTTCCAAGACCTCGTCCTTGTGCGAGACATATGGTAGCAGGCGCGCGATCTTGTCCATTTCCTCATGGGTTTTGCCGACCTACGAGCAAAAAGAATTACAAAAATATCTTAACAAACAACTGAGTTTCACAAAAGACAAAATACGTGACAGAGTCGCTGGAATGAACAATTAATTTTCAATTATCTCGAGATCGGCAGTTTAATAATTATTAATAATTATATACCATGTGTCTCAGATCTTCCGTGTTTATCCGTGTTCTTGATACGTGAACGATAAGAAGTTTAACAAATTATCGCGGACTCAAAAAGCTTTCTTATCTAGTCCCTGAATACATTTTTAGATAAAGATAGAGATACTGCTTGGGACATTGTTAAGAGATACATAAATATAGAAGCCGGAAAAACGCTCGACATCGAGACGACGTTTCGATTATCGATTACGCAACAATATTTTTTAATATTGTCTGACACGTTGTCGCCGTTGCACGTGGCACATAAATTTTCTTACGATATGTGTTCCTCAGGTGCAACTCGAAACTGCAGTTGCGTTACGTAAGAGATAATTACGATAGCTTGCGAGAAACAGAAACATCGACGAATTTTTTGTGACTTTACACGTCTATTTCTAAATTTAAAAAAGACATTATTTATGCGCGCGTAGAATTAACTTTTTCTAATTGTTTGGGATATCGCGAACTGCAACCAATTAAATATTGGAAACAAGATGCAAATAATCTCTGTTGCAGCACATAATCGGGAAGTATTCTTTTCGTCGCAAATCATATAAAGAGCGTAGCTGCATGGTCTTGTGTTCAAAAACGTATCTCGTGTTCAAGATACGACGACCATATAATTATGTCCACGGACGCGTCTCGCGTGTTTACATAATCGACTATTCGACGGCGATCGGTGATAATACCTCCGACACACGGTTATGGATTCTCCTGTTTGTGCGGTTCGCGCTTTGTCTTATGTAAAAGCTTATTAAGCTTAAGTAATTGTAAATACATGGCCCGGCGACATAAGCGAATTAGAATCCCGTATAAAATAGGTGCGGCTTCCGTATCGTTCGTTTGTATTCAACACGTTTGCATAAAAATTCGGGGTGAGCTAACATATCAAGTATCTGATAGATATAATATTTTTTATATTTTTATATAATATTTTTTATATAATATAAATATAACAAATATAATATATAAATATAAAAAATTATAACAATAATATAAATTAAATAGATGGATCGACACTTATCCTGATGAGGAATAAAACAATTTTTCCGATTAATATGCGCGATTATTAAAACAATATTACCAACCTTAAGAAAGACCCCCAGAACTGCTAGACCATCGGAAGCTTTCGCAGCTTCACCAAAAGTCTTGTATTTGCTGGTGTTCCAGTGCACCAGATGCAGCTGAAACAAAGAGCGTCGATTAATAAATCTAAATACGCGTATTAAATATAATAGCGGGCAATCAACTAGGAGGAGCGAAAAAACAGGTTGACTGGATACGCAACAAGTATCTAATCATCTCTTTAAACAATCCATTAAGAAATGACATTTTCTCTATTTGTTTGGCAAGAACACTTATCATTATATTAATAGCATATTGTCTCGCTTTGTAATTATTTAATCTCCCTTTCAGCTTCAATTATTCCTGTCGTATCTCATCAAGCGAAACACACAACAAAGAAACCTTATCAGTATCAATAAATAATAATTGCGTCCGAGGGATGGTCGTTAGAGGAATTATGTAATCGGTCCGGATAACTGGACGTTGAAATTCCACGGATATCCGACCGACCCGGTTTCCCGGATCGTCACAAGAGATATGATCGCATAGAATTTTTTTCGATAAAGCGAACGTCATATATATACATGTATTCGAGACAGGAAAGAGTGTACTCGTCCGCGCATCCGTTTTAAGTGCATCCGTTCTAAGTGCATTGAAGACGGACGTGCGCAGCGAACGAATGAGAGCTTATTGTGATCGCCAATTGACTCGCTAATGCGTTTAAAATTTGAGTTGTTAATTAATATATCGAGTTTGGCTGAGAGTCTCGTCAGCGTTAATCCGTACCGCCGTCCAAAGAAATTCACGATTGTCTGGAAAAATGTTTCAAATGCTTCTTCATCGGTTCAAAGTTTCGTTGCATCTACCATGCGCGAAGAAATTTTCCATTCATTATCATCGATATTTTATTGATCACGATCAGGGTCCATAGTTGAAGGTTATTATATATGAAAGATCGCAAATACATATCGCTGCTAAATGTTGCGTTTAGACGATTGCATAATCGATTTATCAAGTATAGAAATGCATTTTGCAGGAAATACCCAAGCTAAAGCATACGTAATGAGCTTTAAAAAAATTTCCCGCAATAGAAGAATAATCCGGTTCGAGATCATATCGGAAAATGTGTGTATCAGGAAATACGCAACTTTTCAGTTAATTATTGACATCCGTTTTCACGATTGGACGTTTGTTCACAGGTGGTCTCGTTATCCCATTCAGCCAAGCAAGTGGTAGTTTACATGATAACGCCAATTATTATTTCCATTCCGAACGTGTTTGTTGTTTCATTTCTTCACATTCATAACCCGATACATGCTGCTTTAAGCCCACGCAGCTGCCAGAACACAAAAAGGCCTTTGACAGAACGCTGCTGGCGTATTTATCAATGTAATAGTACGGGTGATAATAACGTCCTATTTACGAGATCTATTAATCCGCGTAATTATACACCATTATATTCACGTAACACATCCACAATTAGTGTTTTTACATGCGTCATACTTAAACCCCGGACGAATAAAATTTTTTATTTGCACAGGAAAATTATCTGTTTCATCACCTATATATTACGAGTCACGAGTGTAAAACTAGACGAGCTTCGATGTATCTTCGAGAAAATGATCGTGCTAATAAATCGTACAAGGTCGATATACCTATAGCAAGCTCGTTTCGAATGATCGCAAACAGTGAATCATACTTTCAACGTGGCTGAATTACAAATAAGCTACTTTGACGTACGCTATTAAGTATGCGAAAAAACGCAATTAATATTCTTCGCATTGCCTTGCGAATTTATATGTCGAGAAAACGCGAATCTAATAGCCACGTATCAATAAAGCTTTAATTATACTCTACCTCCCCGGCGAAAGCTTGTCCGTCCACCGTATGTTCGGATCCCCTGGAATCGCTGCATCCCCAGTGACAGTGATACTGCTCCAATTTGTAGACGTCATCCATCAACGGTCCACCGCTCAAAACTGGCGACGACAAAAATCGGAATTTTTCACATCATGGTTATATAGGGTGTCCCAAAATTACCGGACATCCTGTTAATGGAAAAATTCCTCAGATTATTTGGAGACGATTTTTTCTCAGCAAAAGTGTCGAGGCACCAGTAATTTTCGAGTTATAAGCGGTTGAAAATAAAAAGTTTTTCGCAAACTAAGCCTTGTGGAAATAAAATATTAACAAAATCGCATTCTTTAATTAATTTCAGGTAGAGTTTACGTTAGTAGAATTTTAATTTAAGGCTTAGTTACAAAGATATATGATGGCAAAAAATGATGACCTGCCTCGACATTTTTGCTGAGGAAAAATCGTCTCCAAATAATCTGAGGAATCTCCCTATTAACAGAATGTCCGATAATTTTGGGACATCCTGTATAAAAAAAATAGAAAGAATAAATAAGTGAAGGGTGATTTGCATAAATTAGATCCTCCAAGCAAAGTTTTCGGAGCACGCTCTTTTAGCGAAGTGCGCTTGAATAAACGGTGATTGTGCGGGCTCTCGTATACGGAGATCGCTCTATTACAGGATACGGTTGATTAGCCAAATTACGTGGGTTGTACGTGGGGAATATAACAAGAGAGCATCTGCATCACTCATTTGCGTTGGCGAATCGTGCGAACTGGACAAATCGTGCGACACATTCTGTCGCGCCTCGACTGTGATAAATTATTCACGGAAAATTTGCGCCAAGTTTTAAAAGCCGCGCAATTCCTCGAGAATGTAGGAGAATCTAAAGTTAGTTATCATATGTAGCAGGAAAAACAATAAGATAATTTTAGACCTTCAAAAAAAATATAAAAAAAAGATACGAGTTGTTTTATAATAAAAAGCTTGTTTTTTATCGATTTTTTTGCTGTCAAATGTAACAATATATACAAATGTGTATAATTTTCTCATTGAAATCCTCAGAAAATCTTCGCCTGCGGAAGATACAATGAGAATTCTTGGCCGAGGCGACTCGAGCAAGTCATAACTCCGCGTTATCGGCATTCTATCCAGCGATTGTTTTGTGTCACATATTGCCTTATAGAGCCTCTGCGCCGCTTCGTGCCACATATGAGTCCACATAATACGCCACGGCGCACGGTCGTCCTCATTTCGAATACGCCCCGAGCACTCGGCGAAGGTAAAAGCCCTCTCTAAGTGGCACGAGGAGCCTTCGTTAAAATACGATATACCAAGTAGTAGAATATAAATCCATCTGTACACGCCGCATTTTATGTCCGACTGTTATTTATGCAAGCGATATATATTCTTCCCTCTTCATTCCCGTATTTTCAAAATAAACGTAAAGACTTGATCTGCTCGCGAAAAGACGGAGAATCTAAAATCTAGATGACACGTCTTCGCAGATCGCGGGACTATTTTTCGTCTACGTCGCGAATGCGTACAAAGTCCAGCTTGTAAAATTATAAAAGACAATAGATGAATCGCTGTGCGGTTAATGACGAGTGGTCGCAATGACTTGTTGCGTGCGGTTGATTTGTATCCGCGTGCGATGACATGTCATTCCGCGTTCGCGTGCGATGACATGTCGTATTCTGCGTTCGCGTCTGCGTCTAAGGAATAAGAGGATCCACGAGGACAAATGGACCTTTGGTTCATCGCGTGCGGTTGATTTGCGGCTGCGTGTGATGATACATCGTTTCTGCGTCTGCATCTGCGTTTTTGCAAATATATAATGCACGGAATGCAGACGCGAACCTTGGATATACGCGAAGCGACAGAAAACGAATCGTGCCGCGAACCGTAGTTTGTTTCTTACGTAAAGACTCATGCATGATGCACGAAATTAATAAAAAGCATTTTTCTTACGTAAGTCGTTTACATATCGGGAGAAAGAAAACACGTTTCTCTCATACAGGTTGCTCCGAAAATTACGACTAAGTAAGCCGCGTTCGGCATCACTGCCAAGCGTATTTATTAAATGTTTATAAACGCGAAGCTCGAGATGGAACGCGAGGCCGGCTATCGTAAACAATCTAAAATTATATTGCATTGCCATCTCTGAATGGACGAGCTATGCTGATTCGCAACGCAATGCATTTTTATTCACGCATTTTATTTGCAATTCAGAATATCAATCGCGATTAGAACGAGGAACTTCCGCCATCGACTTTGGTCATCGATCGTCGTTAAATATATATTGACACGTAGAGAGGCTCGTGATCTTTTACACAATGAAAAAGAATCACAAACTTTATTTGAATAAAAAGGGAGGAACGAGGAAGGGGAAATGTGTTTAAAAAAAGTATAAAAAAATGAAAGAAAGGAATCATCGATCGTCATTAAATTATATATATTGACACCTGAAGATGCTCATGATTTTTTGACACGATGAGAAAGAATCACAAATTTTATTTGAATAAAAAGGGAGGGTGGAGGAAGGGAAAATGTGTCTAAAAAATTTTTTTAAAAATGAAAAAAGAAAATCTAATGTCCGACATACTCACATGTGCCTTCGCCCGCAGTATCCACCCGCCAACAATAGCCAGGATTGACCAATTTTCGGGAAGCTGTAGCCGGATACTTCCAACGCAGCGGTTTGCTGCTTAGAGCCTCGTGATCGGATTCCGCCCTTTTCGTTTCGATATTCACCGGGCTTTGCCTAGAGCCGGCAGCCATGGGAAATTTTGTCACCCACGTGCTGGGTCCTGCGACAGAGAAGAGAAAAATCGAGTTAACGCTAATCCGTTACGCATAAATAGTAGATGGAGAATTTTGTCAGATCTCTACGTCACAACGATAATAATCAGCGGAAACAAAACAGAGGACTGATTATCTGTTTCTTCTCTTTGGTTTGCAAATATCAATTTTTCACTGACAATGAGTATGGAACACGTGTGCCAGCGCGTTCTCGACAACAAGATAATGCTGCATAATTTTGTGATATGAATAAATTGAAAACAAGTTTGACGCGAAACAAATTTTTTCGCGATAAAATATGTCACGTGTTCGTAATTAAAATTCGCTTTTATTAAAATTCCGTAATGTACGTTTATTATCCTTGATCTCTTGTAAATTTTTTGTCCTCCATTTAATTCGTACGAAAATACAAGAATGATATTTACAGAAGCAATAATATTTTCTAAATTTATGATGCATTAGCGAAGCTATAAATGACTTATACATTAGAGATAACCCATAAAAGCTGCGAACATTATATACGTCAAGCTTACATAATTTATTATGTCTTCAACGAACGTTTTGTGAGCCAATTACAATATACAATTCAGGACAAACACGCGTGTGCAAATATCTAGCTGAATATCAATTTCGATAACAGACGCAAAAGAGCTAATCAAGTATATTATCTCTGGTAATCGCACATTTTTCTTATCAGTAACTAATGTGATGTGTCGACGCATTAAACTCTCTTTATCGAGAACCACATGATCGCGTGTTATTTGTTTGATGTAATTAGATGTCGAACGCGAACATAAGATCGGGAATGGTCACGAAACTTGAGTCGCGAATTAAACAGACATCGATTTGCATCGATCCATCAACGCGAGAGGCAACTCGCTCATATTTCTGTGATATTGTAACTTCTGTTAAAATACGTATTATCGTCAATTTCCGCGAGATCGCATGTGACATTTCTGAGATCCACGTGACACAATACGCGTCACGCATTTTAAACGCACTCGTGCGTGCAGAAGTCTTTCTTCGTTGCCGAATAACTCAGACTTGTAATCAATCACGAAACTAAAATTAAATAATTATGCCTTCGTCATGTTACGTATAAAATTACATTCAAGAGAAAGGGAGATTGTGAATTAAATTATCTATGTCTGAACGTTAAGAGCGCAAGACTGTAAAAGCTAAATATAAAAAAATTATTAATAATTTCTATAACGCTGTAATAAAATTATATTACATAGCGAGACAACAAAGGGGATTTTCAGGATCACGTCTTTGATCTCTCGTATTTCGGTAAATGTAGAATAATGATATTTGCATAATCGTTCGAAAAATTGAGAGACGAAGTCATCCGTAAAATATAAGAGCATGATAAATCCGTCTGCGACATTGAGACCGTCGTCACGTGAATTCTTATTGAAGAATAGAGGAGATAACAATAAAACACGCCCGCGGCAGCTGCTTAACCGGTTTGAAAAGTTTCGATAACGGTTCGATATTTATTTATCAAACGGTTAATCAACGGCGATTATCAGCGAATTGCAACCGGCATAAGAATACTCAATAATAGAGAGATAAATCGGAGATAGCTGATCAATCTCTGATATTTATTATTGCTATAGTTGCAATGTCTAGTTAAATATAATCTTTATGCCTGAATATTTATTTTACACCATTGAGTAATTATCAATATTTGTAATCGGTAGACGTGTCGTTTTAAATTCTTGTCACTATTTTGACCTCGTAACAGAGCAAATAGAAAACGTTCGTTTGAAGGTTCGTTCAACCTTGTGCCATGACATGATTCAACAAATCTTAGAAAACATTCTAAGGCCAAAGGCGAACTAAAGAATCGACGTGTTTTATATTATTTATTTTTATTATCATGTATTTAAAAATGTATATAACAGAAATTTTTACGATACTTCTTTCCTATATATCTTTCAAGAAGCTTATTGTTAGTATATTTTCTACACGTGCGCGTTTTTTTTCATTCACGCATTATTAATGTCATAATCTTGAGGCCACCAACCATCAGAAACGTAATATTATGTTACGTATCAAAGATGGTAATTTAACAACAGAATGGTGTCACGTTTTGTCACGCTTCGTCGTTATCCTACGATTACGCGATATTTAGATGGTCTATCGTGGAATTGTTACGTCATATTTACAGCACCCTACGAATCTAAATGCACTGTAATATTTGATATCGCAAACAATTTTTCTTCTTATTCATGTGTCGCGGATTGAAAGCTTCGACCTTTCCAAAGATATAATATTCGCGCAAATTGTATAGTGCTGTCAAGAATATATGCAATTATATTTAAATATGCACACTTATCTTTTAAATTATAAATATAGTTATAAATTTTAATAAAAAAATTTATTTAAATAAAATTATACATATATTTAATATATAGAAGAGAAGAAGAGGTCTCTCTTTGTTGTGGAACTCATAATTGCGACCGGCAAATAAGTCACGTATATCATACCGTATAGGTTTCACCTTTGTGCACAATAAGCGCGAATGGCAGCCGTCAGTCGGCAGATAATTTGCAAGTTAATCGTCGCGACCGAAGGACGATGCGATTGACCGCTCAGCTCGCAAGATGATTTCTCCACATCTCGATTGTCTTGAACTTTCTTTTTCGACGCGGGATTATATTTTCACAGCGTTAAAAGATATACGCACTTGCGAACGCGCGATTTATGTTGCAATCGCAAACGCGATCAGATAAAATATTACTTGTGAGTCTGTAATGAGCCGCAAATTTCTTGTGGAAAGTGCGGAAGACGTTTCGCGTAGGTGAGAAAAGTTTATAAATGATAAAATGAGTTTTCGCGAGAGAGATCGCGCATATCTTTTTGTTCGTCCTCGCAGAAGGGATATCTATAAAAATTGTAACTTACACGCTCGTAGGCGTCAAATACGCTTCGCGCATTCGGGGCGGAAGGAGAAATGCCTTTTTATTTTTAATATAAATATTCCCTTCTCTCTATTTTTATCTCGGATGAGGCTCGATTGAAATCGCATTCGCCTCGGCGGCAACCTAAATCGATAGAAAGCGCAGCGATGTAGTACGTAAAAGTATATAATACACGAATGGCAATCGGTAGACTTTTTGTATATAAGCCACCAATTTTCATTAATCTTTTAGGGTCCTCTATTTACTCTCGAAACGAATCTCTACAATTTGATTATACGAGCGCTTCGCTTTTCTAATTCCCCGATTGTTATAGAAATTATATGCAATTTTCTTGAATCGATCGTACAGTTAAGTTCAGCACAAGATATTCCTATATATCGCATTCGCAATTATCTCATATGTTAATTAAATAAGGCAGGCAACGTCTATCTTCGTTTATACGAGTGCGATCAAAATCGATGTTCCGGCATTCGTTAGAGAAAACGGGCGGAATACGCAAATAAGGTGATCCACCCTCTCTTTTATACCCCTACGCGTTACGTGACTTCGAAGAACGACCTCGATAACTCAAAATCCGAATTAATCCAAGTCGTGAAAATATTTTCGCGACCTATCGTTGCCTGGAAAAATGCTCCAACGCAAAGGTTACCGAAAGAATTTTTTTTTTCGCGGAGCCGATGATTAACTCTGAATGCCCGATCGCTCGGCCTACAAATCGCGGGGCAAGATAAATCCTCGGGAAACAATCAGATCGCTCGGGCAAGCCGCAATTACAGCCGCGGAACATCGTGGGAACGGTGTTGTCTTTGGAATAATTTACGACGTACACCGAATAACACCGATCAATCTTAAACAACGAGGCACCTCGCGGCTAAGCCGCGGCCAAGTCGTATTCAGGAGTCAAATAACTTAATCATCCCTCTACGAGGTTTCGTCTCATTTTTGGCAGCGGGCCGATATCCCGAGGACGCATGCAAAGCGCATTGTACGCCTCGCTTCTTCTCTCTTTCTCTCTCTCTCTCTCTCTCTCTTCTCGCAATCGGCGAAAAGATAGCGCTGACAAATTGACTCGAGATTAAGGACGTTTCGGGGGCATGCACGGCAACCCCGAACGGAACAAAGTGAAACTGGGTCTGCGACCCCCCACGTTCGTGTGCGTGTGTCCGTGCGCGCCTGTACTTTCCGCGGGAACAGGTGCATCGGCCTACCGAAGAAAACTATTGATTTTCATTTACCCCCGCGGAGAGTCGTGTGCTCGACCCCCTCGTGTGCTCGGCCGCGAAGGCTACGAAGGGGAAAAGACACCCTCACCCCCGTCGCTTGGCACGGCCCGTTCGCCCTGCATTCGAGGGAAGACAATGGCCCCGGGTCAGTGAGCCTGTGCCGGTACCATCCGGAAAATCGAATCGAGATCGACCGAAAAATTCAAGGAACGAGGAGGACGAGAAAATGGGAAATACAAAAACTGTTCAGTTCTCTTTAATTTTCTTGAATTTCAAGAAAAGAAAATTTGTGTACCAGACTCATATCTCGGAAATAAACGAGTTAAAATTAATATTAATTAAATCGAATTATTAAATTGATTATGTAAAATTAATTAATAGAGTCGCAAAAGTTTTAGAAAAAAAAAACAAGCGCACATGTGTCGCGTGATTATGAAGCATGAAGCATGAAGTTTCCACAAGATTTCAATTTGGAAAACTTTTCTGGGAAAAGAGAAAGTTTAAGAATAAAAGAAAAAGATTTATACACACATGTGCGCTGTCAATATTTTCTCTTATTGCTGCGTTTAATATAGCTTGAGAAAACGCTCAAGGATATGGCAAAATGAAAAAGTTAAGGAGGCCAAATTGTCCAAATTGTTTATGTCACGTTGCGATAAAGGAAAATAAGGAAAATAATTTCATCGCCGCCAGAAATGAAAGAAAAAAATATTTATGCGGAAATTTACGGAAATCTTTCGGCTATAAGTAGAGATTTTGATTACTCAGCTTATATTTATGTATATATATTTACTTAAAATGTAAATATAAATTTTTCAATTTCTCCATTATATTTTTTTCGGAGAAAAGAAAATTCTGACTAATTTGCAGTAAAATGAATTCATATCTTCCGCAACTCCGATTCAATTAATAATTCCGATAAGTGTTATCGCTAACACGTTCGTTCGTCATTGTTAATCAGAAACCGCGAACAAGCCTGCTAGCTAGTAGGTAGATTGTAACATTAATACAAAAATACCCTGGTTATATGTATATTGGATGACGAATGCACGATCGTGAATGCACGACGATTGACAAAGTAGTTGATCAATAATTTCCATACGGTATTATCACAAAAATATAATACGTACGACTTAAATCATCCAATACTAAATACAACACTCAAATTATTAGAACATTATCGATATAATAATTATAATTGTACAAAATAATGTACTGTAAAAATTAATTGCCAAAAAATTACATTACTGTTAAACAAAAAAAAATATAAGTACACATCCATCTCCAAAATTTTTCCAATGACTTTTTCCATATCTATAACTCCTGTTCAGAAATTATAAAGTTTGTATACAAAATTATAAGTTCACTCATTCAAAAAACGTTGTCATGCGATACGCAATGCGAGACACATATGCGAGTCACGCACAAAATTAACATTGATATATTTTAAATACTTTACCATTCTGAATAGAATAGTCCCACTCGTCCTTCGAGCCCATTGCGTACACAGCCTATTTACAGGAAATTGAGGTCCGCGAAATTGAGATCCGAGTAGAGTTTACACCCGCTCGTCTTGTCCGTTTCCGCCAAACTTTTGTGTCGAAACGAATTAATCGAATTAATCTCACTCGATTTCCACTAAATCGCGTCGTGGGATTTCAAAATAGCGAAAAATTTGCGCTCGATTCGACTCGAGAATTTTCGCAAACTTTGTCGCATGCGAAAAGAAGAATCTCTTTAATTTCTTTTTTTTTTTTACGAGCACGTCTGTTTCACAAAGATACTAATCACGTTACTTTCCCTGGCCGAACAATCGTCAGTTTCCCCCGCGTCTGTTTTTCTTCGCGATCGGGGAACCGGTATAAGCTACGCGCCCTACTCCTACGGCCGTAATACCGGCCGGCGCATCGGCACCGCTTTATATCGCGCGGGGTCACGTGAGCGCGCCTGGACCGGCCAGCCGCGCATGCGCCGGTAAATATTTACACGTGCGCGCCTCCTGCGGTGCGCGCCAGTGCGCGCGTACACACGTGCGGGTGCGGATCGTGATATGGGGTGGAGTGTACACGACGTTGGTCAGATCGATGATCGATAAATAAATAAATAATTGTATGAGGGGGATGCTGTTATATATTCATGCATTTTCGAATAATTCATTATATCGTGAAATTTTTAAATAAATCTTGAATCTCCCGCATAAATTAGTATACAAACTGCGATTTGTTCTCTATAGATCTATTCTAAATGTTGAAAATTTGGATTCTTTTAAAATAAAGAAAATCAGAAATCTATTCTCTATTAGGCGAAAAAGATGACACTACAATATCTAAATTTTAAATATTAATATATGATGAAAATTTTTGGAAATATCATTATATCATATTTTTTTTTGCTAGAAAGTTGGAAACTTTATTATATTTGAATTAATAAAAGTTATTGTTAAAACATTAGATTCCTTTTCCATTATATTTAATAAGATAAATTTTTGCACATTAATGAAATATCTATAGTTACAAATTCATAATATTGATATTATTAATAAAATAATAGGAAAAAAGAATTAATAAAATAAATGTATACATGTCATTCTATACTTTCAACAAAATTATTTAATTATTAAATTAAATAATTATAATCAAATATCCTTTTTTTTACTATTATATATTTTTCAAATTAAAAACCTATAATGTATATATATATTATAACAATAAATACATGATTAATTATTATTACCAGTTATTATTTATATTTATGTTTGATACTGCAAAGAAAGTTTAATTAATAGATTTTCAAGATATTATAAAGATAAGATTAAATGAATCACTTTTTTCATTAAATAAAAAGTATTTATCTCGTGTTTACGAACAGTAAGCGATCGAATCACTTGCATGAGAGAAATTTTATCACAAGTACAATAAATAATTGGTGATATGTTAAAAAACATGCTGCATAATTTTATATTTTTTTGTAGTAATAAAAACGAAAAAAGGGGTATTGCTTCTAATAAAAATTAATGAATTTTGGCGGATTGTACGTAAAAAATATATATGTAATATTTAACTAAAATTCTTCTCGAAATAATTTTTACGTTTTCCATTATTTATGTTGAGATATTTTAATGACATTTGACGTAGTAATTGTTTATATCTTCGACTCTATTAATTCTTAAATAGCAGTGAATTGTAACAAATTCCTTTGGTAAGTTGCAATAAGAAATGGGGGTTGACTCGAAATTTTATATATTTTTATATGTATATTTATAAAAACGCGTTCAAAGTGTAAAAAAATAAAATAAAAACAGATGATAAATAATTATAATAAAAGATATTTTTTATTCTAGCAAAAAATTATAGCATTTACGGCTTCGATTGTTTGTCATATCGATATCTAAAATTTAAAACATGATATAATGATAAGAATCAAAAAATAGATTATTAAAATATAATATTTATGAATAATTTATCTTAAATAATTGTCGTTTATCCTTACGTAAACAAGAAATAATATCAACTTTCTTACGGCGTTGTTATTTATCGTCGAAGTTATTTTAAGAAATGCATTTCCGTTCTCCTTTGTTGCATACAATCTTATCTAAAACAATGAGAATTTCCTATTCTGCAGCATGATGTAAGCACACAATGCAAACTATTTTAATGTAAACTTAAAATGTTTAGCGTGGAATGAATAGCAAATCATAATGTATCGTATTTTTAAAAATCTTACATAATCATAAAAGATTTCAGTTACATCACGCCTAATGCAATTTTGAAATCTACAAGATAAAAGAGATCATTTATACATGCATAAACTTCTTTTAACCAGTTAAATTTTCACAAAAAACTACAAAAAAATCATTTAAACAACGATAAATATAAATTTCGTTTCTACAGATTAAAATATATATTACATAATTAATATATTAAATGTAATAATAATAAATTGTCAATATAATAACAACTATCAAAAATAATATATAAAGAGAATTCGAAAAATTTAATGAAACATTACTGTTTAAAGTCGTACCTTGTCGTTAAGCACGTGATCCAACGAAATTAATGTTCATCGCGTGATTAAATTGCTTAAACATTCGTGAATGACATATAAGTTCGTAATTGCTGGATCTCAGGAGAAATGACGACATTAATATTTCTGGAGAGTGAGCGAGCGCAGAGATTGATACGCGTCGTGTATCCTAAAATGGTTTTATTAACTCTTAACTTTACACGTGTTTAGTATATAGTACTTGTCTCTCAGAGAAAGAGAGAGAGATATCTGTATATGTATATTATCATTAATTCGATATACTTTTTTTTCATCGATTACACCGTTACATGATCTCAAAGTAATCGCGCGCGCATTTATTTCGAGGCTGTTCCTCTTTTTTCGCGAGTTCCTTTCTCCTCTCTTTTTATTTTCTCTCTCCTTCGAGATATGTTTTACTTACTTAGCACGAACTTAAGAAATACGTGTCGATGGCTTTTCGTTATTCAGCGGAGAAGCAAGTACGAAAGCCGCTCCATCCCGCGTTTTCGCGAATACATCAACGCAAACGTTTCACTTGGTATATCGAAGCGCTCTTACAGCGAATAAAAATAATCTGAAAATCCCAGTCAATATGCTCTTATTCTTAGGTGTGTATATATATATATATATATAACTATGTATATAACACATGTATTCGTATGGGCGATGCGAGATAGCTCTCTCCTTATCTTCCCCTCGTCCCTAATTTTTCTCTAATGGAACTTTTACTTCGTCTTTGCCGTCTTAGCCCGATCTCTCAGAAAGCGGCCATATACGAAAGTCATGGTCACATTAGCTTCACAAATTGTCGGCCCTCATTTTTTACATACAATTATAAAATACTTTCGAACCATTTTCACACACAGGCCAGAAAAGTCGCCGCTAGCAAATATGCTCTCTTTGAAATTCAATTTCTTTTTTTTCCCTAGCATTCCTTTTTGTTCCTTTCAGTTCGTATAAATATCGTACATGCTTATCATACATTATCATTATTTTCACAAGTAACACAATTGTAGCGCTTAAGGGATACGCATAGAGCAATGATATGATTAGAAGCATGATATGAGTTATGCTTGTTTACCGCAGATCACACACACAAACGGAATATAAATTTCTTCCTGACCGTTTATGATGCGTCGCGTTTCTGGTGTGTACAACGTGATTATCGAATCTGTCGATTCGCACTAATAAAACTCTCAAATATTGTATACTACGTAAGTAGTGTTGTTATTTCTCATTCATCGACCACTACATTATTACTCTGTGATGCGATTTCGTTTGAAATAATAAATAAAGGTCCAGTGTCGTCGACAATAAAGTTTTTATTCCATAAAACTTGACAATAGATAATTATCTGCTGGAATTTTTATATCCCATTACAATATATAAATTCGTATTTATTCTTTCAACGAAAATCGCACACAAAGAAATATCACAATTATAGAATAATTCCATTCTACGATAACATAATTGTTATATTCGAGTCTTAAAATAAAGAATTCAACATACAAGATATTTATATATATTCGTAAAAAATAATAAGAAAACGTACTTATATATATGTGTGTATTAATTCGATATAAAACGTCAAAAGCAATCACGTACGGGCGACAATCGCAATCTCTTTTCTCCTTCTAAAAGATTCTGCGATAAACAAGATGCGCGAACGATGAAAAGGATTCACTAGTTTACAAACAATTCACCGATTCTATCTTTCGCGAGCATGTGAAGTAGCTGAATCATTCAATTAATATTTAACAAGCCTCGCGCTTTGTCGTGAAGATTATAGAGAAATTCAACCATAAAGTTTTGAGATATATAGGTTTGCTCGCGAAAGAAAGAAGAAAATAAATCTGTGAGTTGCGATTTCTCACGAGTTATCCATGCATTCAGTATATACTTAAATCTTCTACGTTATAAGGATATGAATTAATAGTTAATATATTATACCGTAATTTTTTACGTAGCCTTTGTATATGAAACATTCTCTTAGCATCTTACATACGTATTAAATTGTCAGCATTCATACCAGTAAATACATGCGTCCGAAAATTCGTCGATCCATTTATCGTTCGTGTCGATAAACGGAGCCTCCAAATTCGGAACGCAATACGAAATTCTTTTTTCATTTTTTTTTGCGTTTCTCGTATTTCCTTTCAAAAATATCAGGAAACTATCGAGGTATTGAAGAAACGGCTACATACGTACTCACACGATACCCCGCACTCTTTCGTCGCACTGGACATACATACAAACGATGATATTTTGCGTATGTCTAGTTGCGCAGCGATTAAAAAATTATAAAAACCATTATAAAAAAATGCGCCCTAAAGAGTGCGAGCCACGCTCTCTCTTCGCAGTTTACAAATACATCCTTATTTTTATTTTATACTCCCCTCTCTTTTTAAATATTAATTATTTTTTGGCTTGGTAACTATGTAAAATCTAAATTAAATTAGTCTCATTTTTATATACGTGCATGTTTTCGTTTCTGAGTTAATCCTTCGATGCTAACTCATGTGTTTGTGAACAGGTTTTAGGAAAATAATAAAAATATATATATATATATATGTTGCGATTAGGTTCTTAAATCATAAAAGTTTTTAAAGTGCGTTAAATTATGCGTGAAACAAACAAAAATGAATCTTCCTCTGACAACGAGAAATAAATGCAAATAACTTGATTGGTCTGGCAGTTTAAATTACGCTCTTCAAATAACCGCAGACTCTCATGTCTCTATCGAACGGCACAAATATAGATACAATATGTAAATATGTATACGTTATTTATATATTTATATATATATTATTATAATCAGTTTTTTCTTATCTTAGATAAGTTATTTGCATGGCCTACTGTGCCCATGGAAGCATTTGCTGTCATTTTGCAATGGCATATTGCATTGTATATCATAATCATTCCTTTAAATTTAATGTCTCAAAAACATTTCAATTCTCTCCAATATATTTTATCCTTAAGTAAAAGGCGATCGCAAAGTGAACCAGTTTACGATACTGCTATTTAATTTCGTTTTGTTTAGTTCGCCACAAATTAATATAAAAATCTAAATGTTTGAAAATAATATAAAAAAATTCGAATAAACTATTGTATCATAAAAACCGGTTCGCTTGGCGATGTATCGTGCATTTGTCGTTCTGGCAGTGTCATACGTTGTAGGGTACGTAATATAATGTATTTCGTTAAATCCGCCCGTTTCTTGATACCTGGAGACTTTGTGTAAACAGTAATTGCAATAAATCCGTAGAACCGTAATTATATACGTGCTGTGTTATTCACAGTCGGATACCCTTATTGCTTAATAAATGGCACTGATTATTGAAATATTTACGAGTATCGTTGCTGTCTCGAATACTACAAAGTCGAATAAAGTTACGTTTACTCTACCGTTGTCTCTCGATTCTACAACGACCTCTAAACTAAATTCGCGTATCGAGTTCGGAGCAGTGGATCCTTCCCTACGATTGAATTCTTTACGAAAGGCAACACGTGATTTGTATTCCCATACTTCCTAGAAAATCTTTTCTTTTTCTTTCGCGTGAAATATAGACAATTGAGAAAGCGAGAGAGAGAGAAAGTGAGAGAAAGAGAAAATGTCGATTAAACATCGACTCAAAGTCTTTTTCGAATGCGTTATCGATCAACAATGAGACGTGCCGTTGTATGTAGTAGATATATATAAAATAAGTAAAAATGCATGTAGGTTCTCGGAGAAAATTCTCGGAAGAGTCTTCTCTTCTTCATTCACGTCTCGCTAAGCAGTATATATATTGTCGTTACCGGATGAATGGAAGGGCTTTCTTTCAAACGTCGCTATACACATTTAACATCCCACGATCGTCATTCATGTCATCGTCGCCAATTCGAGATTGCTTTTTATAATTGATTTGGTTTTGCTTATGTATCGGTGAGTCTCCGAGCATTGCTAACATATATTTGCGCGTAGGTGAGTGTACCGTATTTTGTTAGGGAGGCACGTAAGGGGGCGGTTTTCTGTACGTAGGAGTAGGCTTAGGACGATTTTGCCGATTGGTGTCGCGATTCGTGGCAAACGGTGGCGGTGGTTGATATGGTTCCTCGGAGTTCTCCTTCGATAGCATCGGTACGTCGGCCCCGTCCTCAGCTTTCTGATACTCCGGTGGTGGAAGAGGTGGCTTTTCCTCTTTCAAGATGACAGGCGATTTATTGCCTGAAATAAATATCATTATAAAAGACTGATAATATCAATATATTTTTATTATGACACTAATTAATTGTCATTACCAGGATCCGGCTTTTCTTCCAATTCGTCCTGGAAAATCACGGGAATTCCTTTACTGCGAAAACTCTGTCGCTCGTCGTCCTGCTCGCTGACGCTCATCTTTCCGCTGCGTCTTCGCCTGTGCAGAACGCACGCAATGATTCCCGCTAGGATGAGCATAATGGCGATAATAATCGCCGGCAGGACAAAAGTGAGAAGGTAATCGTCGTGGAACGCGCCGACCGACGTAGAATCGTCCACCGGTGGTACATAGCTATCTGGCGAATGCACGCCAGTTAATTCACCGAGACAGATCCCCATCGGGATCACCGTAATCTGTTTTACAGGGAATTTCTGACCCATCACGTCCAACACTTCGTCCGTTACGGAACGTCGATCGTTGTCGCTCTTCACCAGTACGGATCGTAATCTATTGACCTCCTCGTGGGCGCAATACGATGTAGGCAAAGTTCTGTTATGCCACGTGATCACGGTGCTACCATTCGAGATGCTGTGCAGCGAGATAGCAGTCGTGTCCCTGTCTCCGTAAAGATCTCGCAGCTTCTCAATGAAGTTACGCTTCTGAAGCGCGGAATGCGCGAAGGAATCGTAAGGAATATCTAATGTCATCGAGAATTCCACCGTATGAGCCATGGGCGTCGCCGGATGAACGACAACGACCAGTCCATCTGTGCTGCTCGCACCTACAATGACAGTTTTTAATTATTCAGTATTATTCAATGTATTTTTTTCTTTTAAAGATTAAAATTATATAAAACCTACCCTCTTTATCAGTGACAACCAACTGATATTCCTTGCGGCCGATATCAGTGCGCATTGGAACACCGTAAAATTCTTGATTCTTACTGTCGAACTGCAGCCACTCGTGAGACGGAATAGCTGTTCGATCGATGGTCAAAAGAGACATCTTCATGTTTCGCGATGATCCATCCTCGAAATCGAAGAAAGTGTCCTGCAAAAATATATTTTAAAAAATAATTAAATATATTTATATATAAATATAATTTAATAATAATAAGAGTTAATAAAACGCGTACTTCTGGCACTTTAAATACAAGCAACTGCCCAACTGTTGCATTAACATGGTCCACTTGATTCCTCGGTACAGGGGGATAATTAGTTTTTGGCTCTTCGGTAGAGACTTTTGGTTCTTCGGGACGATTCATGTCCTCGCATTGCCCAATACCTTGGAATACGACACGCTTAATTGTAATTTCTGGAGCGAAAACTTTTCTTAGAGTCGACGATGGATCTCCGTTAGTATCAACGAGCACCTGATGACAAATATATATCGTTTTTAAAATTTGTACAAATATATATCGTTTTTAAAATTTGTTAAAGTCTGTTTGAAAACTTATAAAATTTTGTTACATAAAATAGAGATGATATAATAATTACTTACGCGCCATAAATCATTTATATCTTTTTTTGGACAGTCACTGCTCCTTGGAACATTATCATTAGTCCATGTAAAAATAACTTGTTCACGATCGGAAGTATTAATCTCAATAGAACGAACTGTAATGTTTTCGAACTGAGTATTGCCTCCGTAAACCTCAGCCAGGTTATGGATCACCTATAATTAATTAAAAACAAATGAATAAGTAAATGAAAGAGAGAAAGAATAAAAAATACTTTATAAAATACGTACTTTGCTTTCCCAATCGACGTCTGTTGGGAATTCATTTCGTTTGTCGATCCTCAAGTAAATTGTGAATTCATGATTGACGCTTCGACTTGATTTATGCTGCTGAACATGAATGTCGAGACTATCAGAAACATTGGCGCCTTCGCTGTCCGTGGCAACTAATTCGTAATTCCAAGTAGATATATCTTTCTCGAGAGGCCTGTTTAAAAAAAAATTGAATAAAAAATCTATCTTATTCCATTTTAAGAATAAAAAATAGATAGATGGTCTAGTGTCAGCTTACAGGCCATAAATTTTCTGCAAATGATGATTGAACTGAAGCCAATGGGTCGTTTTGAGCGGTGCACCGTGCCAGTACAGACTCAATTTCAGTTTCCTTGTGTCGCCATCTTCGCTATCGGCGAAGGTGTTGGCCGGTATAACATAACTCAACGGTTTGCCTGCGGTTACCGGAATCTTCTTCAATCTCTTGTCGCGTCTCGGTGGGGAGTTGACCGGACCGTACTCGATACTTTCCGTAGTAGTCTTCGCTGTCGTCGTCGTCGTCGTGGTGGTAGTAGTAGGAGCTGCGGTGGTGGTGGTAGTCGTGGTGGTAGTCGTGCTGGTACTAGACGGTATCGTGCTCAACGTCGTTCGAAGCTCCGGAGTCGACGATATTGCATCGGTAGTTGTAGTTGTGGCATTGATTACGCTCACAGGCGTGGTAGTGGTAGTAATAGTGGTGCTAACATTCGTTACTACAGACGAAGGAGTAGTAATACTAACGTCCGTGATTACCATCGGTGTTGGTAAGGTGGTCGATGGTTCTTTCATCGAAGTCGTGGTTTGTTCCGGCTAGGCGAGAAAAGATCGTACATCAAAATGCAGAACGCTCGCTGCAATTGGGAGGAGTGGAGTAATGGTTCTATGCGATAGAGAAATTTGCATAATTACGATAGGAGTTTAAACCGTTATTAAATACATCGTTAATAACGGATGACGTTCTTATCAGAGAATAATAATTTATCTCGGCAAAGCGACAGTTTGACAAATTGGCACGATATGCGTACGAAGAAGTTGGTGTGTGTATAGAGCGGCATGGAACTATAATACAAATGAGAAAGCGCTAAAGCACGTAAGCATTACCTCTTCCGTCGTAACGTTATTGATACCGATGACGATCTCCGTCTCGACTCTGTCGGGTACGGTAGTCTGGCTGGTAGCCGCTGTGCTAAGAGACAGAGGAGTGGTTGTAAGAAGAGGAGTCGTAGTGATTTCTGAAGGAGCTGTCGGTAAAATGGTAACAGGTTCAACACGGTCCACATGCTTCGTTTCCGTCGACGATTCCTCGTTCGTGGTTTCCGATCTCGGAGATTCTATCGATGGATCTACAGCAGTGGAGATGCTAGCTGTTGTTGTTGTTGTTGTTGTTATATCGGCTGATGCCGTAGTCGTTGTAGTGCTACTAGCAGTAGTAGGTACGGTCGTTGGCGCGACTTGGGTGGTGGTTGTACTTGTCGTCGTGGTAGTGGTGGAAGTAGTTGTTGATGGTGATGATGTAGTAAGTTCAGTGGTTGTTGTCTGCGAAATCGTTAGTAGATGCGATGTATGGCACGAAAAAAAAACGAATGGTTAGTTACGAAGAAACGAGAAGTAGATGTACAAGTAAAGAACAAAGTATCAGACTTCTGTTTTGCGAAGACTCTCGTGACACAATCTCTGTACAGTGCACTTTAGACGTAGATCCGAATAAGTATACAGTTTGCGAGAGACGGAGAAAATAAGTTAGCATTAAAACCCAATAGCTATTCTAATTTTTTCAAGCGCAATGAGTCCCCCGTAAGCGATATGGCATGGCGAAAAAAGGCGGACAGAAATAGGAATTTTCATAGAAACCGTATTGAAATTGTAAGTTGTTTTCCAATTCAAATATAATCATCGACGAGGAAGGAATCACGCGATCGTGTATAATTCCACTCACCGTGATAGTTTTGTTTTCCAGCTCGCTTTGCCTCATTCTCGGTATTATCTCTTCTTCGTCGACGTCTTCGCTCTACAAGAAACGACATATAAACGAGAGATATTTGCAATTCGACATTCTATTCCTGTACGATTCTTGTGCGACAGCAACTCACCTTCCAATCGATCGTCTCCTCACCATGATGATGCCTGTGCGGATGTTCCGGGATTTTGACATCCGGCATGTAAGTAGGCTGTACTTGCGAGTCCTCGTCCTCTTCGTCGTAATTTTCCTCGTAATATTTGTCCTCGTATTCTTCATCGTAATCGTCGTCGTAGTCGCCGGAGCCAACTTCTCGCCTGTTCCTCAAGGAAGGGCTCGAGTCTATCCTCACGCGCCAAGATATCACAGGTAACTGCAGAACTTCCGCTAAAGTGCCGTCCACCGCTTGCTCCCGCAGTTGTCTTATCAATTGCGCCTGATGCTTCCACAGTTGGCCGTTACAGCCGACCTACGTGCACAAATATATCCTGTTGCTCGACAAATTTGTTTCACGCAAAGCTTACTTTATCGGATGAGATGCCGTAAATATTGATTGATAAGTCAGTGCAAATATATATGATATAAAAAATTATCAAACAAGATTGGTTAATTAAGTATATCAGAATCTCACCTGCCACTGGATAGCCAAATGATTCTTTTTATGTTTGTTAGGTTTAATATTTCCAGGTCCGGAGAGAATACTGGAGGAACCCAGAATACTGGAGGTTTTCATAAAAATGAAATCCGGCGCCTTTATGTTTTGAGAATGCATCGAAAATGCGCTCTAGAACAGAACAAAAATAAGTAAACTGTACAGTAAAATATAACGAAAGATAAAAAAAAATCAACAAAAAGTGAATAAACATATATATAAGAAGACCTATTTATTTTAATTCTCGAAAATACATTGCATTATTTTTCTAAAAATAAAATGCAAAGGTGACAATCAATTACCGTGTGCATTCCTAAAAATCCCGCGAGATTTTCGATGGCGTTCGTCTTGACGATAGGCGATAATTTCTCTATTACTGCATCCAGTAGTATCATGAGAACCGTCTGTTCCTCTCCGTCGTCGCAATGCGTCTGCAATTATAGAATCGTCCCGTTTCCATCAGTCGCTTTTGTTCGTTACGCCTACCAGCACGCAAAGTTTCAAAGATCGAGATCGCCGACCAAAATATGTGTACGGTGGCGATGTACAATTGCGCTGTCATACACGATGCGTTACGCACGCGGTAATATCAATTGACGTCAATCAGTTGACGGGAGTCCGCGAGAGTAATTTCTTTACATTTAAACGCAACGTGACGATGCGAGAGTCGTTGCGACAGATTTATATCACGATACAGAAACTGCTCTAAATTCCGCTGTAAATTTATCAAACGCGGATTTTATCGAGCGAGATTGAATTATGTACTAGAAAACACAGCGTATTTCTATTTTTTTTTTCCATATACAGATTGAATGTTTTAAACATTTTTAGCGTTATTTTATTTCATCGATGTTGCAGACACAAAATGGAAAATGGAAATATCTCGTTAATAATTTCGCCAAAGTCGATTCCTCTTATGTACCTTTTCATCCTTGAGCTATATTATTCATTAGCGAAAATGGCAGGCGTGTATAGCAAATAACGGAAACCTGTTGTTTGACTTGGATAAGAAACTTGAAACGATGCCAGCGAAACGTTTTCTCAGTTAACGATTCCCTCTCATGGCGTTCGCGGTTCTCGTTACCGAATTAACGTTCTCACTTACCGTGCCGTCCTTGTGCTTGACCTCATCCAGTTTCTCGGATACTACTTGCACGACGAACTGATCCTTGGCGGTGTCACCATGCTTACCAAAAGCCGTGACAGTTAGGTGATAATTGCCAGTGTCTTCTTTTAACGGGACACCCAGAAGAGTGGCCGCCGCCTCGTCCCAGTGCATCCATTTTGGAAAACGATCGCGATCATTAGTTCTGCGAACCTGCGAATATTTTTAACATATATGTATATTAATATGTAAATATGTATAATTTTTGCTATTATTATTCCTCGTGAAAAAAATGATTACTTTTTCGTTGTATCATATTGAATATACGAGAAGCTCGCTTGGCTCGGTTTGTTTTTTGCACAACGGAGTATGAGGGCTAGAATAATTTCCGAGGACAAAGGGAAGACTAGGGCCATTCAACCTAAGAAGGATTTCCGGTGGCGGGGAGGAGCAAATTGAATCGCAAATATGGATTCAACGGAAGACGCCGCGTCTCAGGCCGAACTCGGGGAAGGAAGAACATGACAAATGTGTGTGAGGATAAGTGAATCAATAGCACTCAGCGGGCATCTCGTTGCACTTGACGGCATACTTGACGAAGTTCGATAAATGCGAAAGAAGGGCCATCTAAGTTCTATTATTTACGCGACTTTTATTTCGCGCAGATAGGAATACTTGAAGATTTGTTTCTTTATACGACAAAGAGAAATTCTTCTACAAAATATAATTATTAATTACTTAATTTTAATGTAATCTAAGTAAAACAGCGCATATATCTTTATTTTTGAATAAATTTGCGCACAGTTAAAATTTCAATTTTTTTTCCTCGGCTACCTGCATTTTGTTCTCATCGCACGGGAAAAACTTGTTCATAATATAAGACCGCTGGTCACGGATAGTTTTCCGGTTGCGTTTCAAGAACGGACTCGAAGAAATAAATTGCCATTCACGTCACCGACTTACCTCGTAAAAATCCACATCTCCCGAAAAAGCCTGCCGCGGTATTTTCATCCTGAAAACATGGCCAACTGGGACGACGGAATCTGACACGCCCCATGCTCTTTCGACCCGAGAGGGCTGAGTCCTGCTATCCCTGGACGACGATCTATGCTCGTAACGATCGGATCGACCGTGAGTCGCATGATTTATCAGAGCTGGTCCGACAAGCAAGCTGTCATTGTCATTGTCCTCGCCTCCAACCTCCTCGAAGACCAGGTCATCTTCCAGGCCGAAACTACATGCCAGAGGCAACAGGAGTAGGACGCACGCAAGGATGTAACGATGCTTCTTCATGTTTTCGGGAAATCGTCAGTCGCTGATATCATACCATGCTGTTACGCCTGCAACAGATTGTAAACGTCCGTTCATCGATCGTCAAAATAACTATCGAACCGTATCACTGTCGTAATAATTATTCCGCATGATTAATTAAGATTGATCAAATGGGAACGCGTTATTAAAAAAAGATGCATTACTCTCGGTTCTTATGATGGGAAAAGATCGAGCACACTGTTGTTATTAATCTTTTGTAAATAATAAAAAAATATTTTTGATTATAGAGTAGATGTGGAAGATCTCTCGACCAAACTGGAAATGATATTTGTTTAGAAAATACAACGTCTCGACCATTATATTTGGACCTTATCAAGTGATATGGTTCGTTATAATCATAAAAGCGAACTTATCTCGAATTAATACACGTCATACCAGACAGACAAGTTTTTAACTTGTACCATATCACTTGATATGGACCAAATATAATGGTTGAAACGTTGTGATTTCGAAATAAATATCATTGCCAGTTTGATCGAGAGAGAAGGAATTGATTATTTTTGATTATTTTCAATTCTTCAATATGGTAAAACCAAGATATCCACTCAAATTTTGTAAAAAAAATTCCCTGCGAATTGTCTAATCTTCCCGGTATTTTCGTTTAAAATTTCAGATAGAATAAAATAATTTGTAGATATGGCTTTTTAAAACTTCCTTTATCGTATATGCGTTTTAATGTTTTCTAGTCATATGGATTGAAAAGTTATCAAGAGCACAGTTTTTCTAGCATTTAATATTAATTTATTAATTGCAAAATTAATTTGGACAATAGCAAAGTGTGATATATCATTATATCTAAACGCTAAAAATATATGGAAGAATATAATATAAAATAAAGATAGAAAATAAAAATAATTTATTATAAACGTCTTAAAAAATTAAATTATTTAAATTAAATAAATAAGGAGTACTTTATTTATATATTATAAAACTTACATAAGATCTTGATACTAAAATAGATTGTCAATAAAAAAAAGCACAAAATTTTAATAAAAACTTAAATATCGTAGAGATATGTTAGACTAGTTAGACATGTTTCTTAAGTGCTAAATAAGAGTAAAATTCATCAACAAAAGGGCAATTAAAAAAAAAAATGCCCTGAATCAAATTCCATAAGAATTCCCTGATTTTTTTAAAACAAAATTCCCTGAAAATACTGAGTTTTCAAGATTTTTCCCAGAAGTATACATCCTGAAACCGATTATATAATATATGTTATGCTGTAAAATACGATATAACTGTTAGATAAACTAATCATCTCTCGCGAGGAAAAACATGATATATTCCTTATCCAAAAACAGGCGGTATCTAAACGATACCCGAAATAAATACAGCACAATCAAATGACATATATCATATCGATCATTGAACCAGACCAGAATGATAATTGTACAAGTCGATGTTCCCGTTTCGACGTCTGTTTAGGTTTGTTCAGCCCAAGAGACTAATGGAACATTTTCGTAACCGGGAGAGCAGACGCATCCAATAGTATCCAATGATAGCCAATAAACGCCTCCATTGTACTTTTTATTTCCTTTTATTGCTCGTTTCGTCGAGAGGCACCGTTTCATTAATTGGCGCGATCGGCCAATGAGGAGTTGACAGTTTAAGCTGTTGGATTCTTGTTCATCGCGAATAACAAAATCGTCGGGGGGAGTCCACAATTTCATCGAAAACGTCGCTACATCCTCCCCTCGAATGGCCGAAACGTGCGTGGTGTTTCGATCGAAGCTCGTTTTATTTCGACAGATAACATCTGTTGCAAAACGCGTTTTAGATACACTCGAATAATTTCGCGGTCCGACTCTGCGATTCTTTTCGATTGCGTCATTCGAGTCCCGGAGCAAATCGAGTGAATTAATCGAAACGAGGACACGCTCATCGTCTGTGCCTGTGTTTAATCGCGCGGTATTTTATCCGACTTTTAAATGCTCCGATCGGAGCGAGAATTGGATCGTCGCGATAACAAAAAGTTTGCGTTGAATCGCGTTCGCGAAGAACGACGTTCTTCGAGGTCGTATATATAGGAATAAATCGAATTATCGGTGTATTTTTAGGTATCGATAGTCTTGGATGATGAAAATAAAAGATTGATGGAACCGTATTATTATACCTCCAAAGATATGGATATATTTATACAAAGGCGAACCGATTTCAAGGACCAGGAATGATGCGCGGTCACGCTTGATCCAAGTCACGTTTCGTATGAGAGTTCGAGTCACGGATTAAACGCGTTGATGAAAACGAGGGCGACACAACGGCCTGTATGAAGTTAGCCCCCCATTTTTCGAATTTTAAAATTTTAAAGGTTGTTCCAGGTTGTTCTAGACTTGTTCTAAATTGTTCCAAAAGATCAAATTTAAAAAATAAAAATTTTCGCGAAAAATGGAAAAAAACGATTTTTTGACCTGGCCCCCCATTTTTCGAAAATCGAACTTTTAAAGGTTGTTCCAGATTGTTCTAGTTGTTCTAAACATTGTTCCAAAGTGATAATTCCCTAAACAAAATATTTCACGAGATATAATAAAAAAATAGTTTCGTGCGCTAAAACAGTATTTTTACGTTTTCGGCTATAGTTATTATCTCTTAAACACCAAACTGTATATTTTAGCTAAAAACGAACAGAACAACCTGGAACAACTCTCAATTTTGCTAGAACATAATTTTAAAGAGTACTTTACTCTTGGAAATAAACATATTTTTGTTGTTTTTTCGTGTTTTTCGACCGATAACGACGTGACAGCGATCCCAAACTATAGAACAATTACGTACTGGCATAGAACAACTTGGAACAACTCTCAGTTTTGCTAGAACATTATTTTAAAGGGTACTTTACTCTTGGAAATAAACACATTTTTTTGTTTTTTCATCTTTTTTGCCCGCTAAAGTCGCGATAGCGGTCCCAAACTATAGAACAATTACGTACTGGCATAGAACAACTTGGAACAACTCTCAATTTTGCTAGAACATAATTTTAAAGAGTACTTTACTCTTGGAAATAAACATGTTCTAGTAAAATTGAGAGTTGTTCCAAGTTGTTCTATGCCAGTACGTAACTGTTCTATAGTTTACGATCGCTGTCGCGACTTTAGCGGGCGAAAAAGATGAAAAAACAAAAAAAATGTGTTCATTTCCAAGAGTAAAGTACCCTTTAAAATGATGTTTTAGCAAAACTGAGAGTTGTTTCAAGTTGTTCTATGCCAGTACGTAATTGTTCTATAGTTTGGGACCGCTGTCGCGACGTTATCGGTCGAAAAACACAAAAAAACAAGAAAAATGTGTTTATTTCCAAGAGTAAAGTACTCTTTAAAATTATGTTCTAGCAAAATTGAGAGTTGTTCCAAGTTGTTCTATGCCAGTACATAATTGTTCTATAGTTTGGGACCGCTATCGCGACTTTAGCGGGCAAAAAAGATGAAAAAACAAAAAAAATGTGTTTATTTCTAAGAGTAAAGTACTCTTTAAAATAATGTTCTAGCAAAACTGAGAGTTGTTCCAAGTTGTTCTATGCCAGTACGTAATTGTTCTATAGTTTGGGATCGCTGTCACGTCGTTATCGGTCGAAAAACACAAAAAAAACAAGAAAAATGTGTTTATTTCCAAGAGTAAAGTACTCTTTAAAATAATGTTCCAGCAAAACTGAGAGTTGTTCCAAGTTGTTCTATGCCAGTACGTAATTGTTCTATAGTTTGGGACCGCTATCGCGACTTTAGCGAGCAAAAAAGATGAAAAAACAAAAAAAATGTGTTTATTTCTAAGAGTAAAGTACCCTTTAAAATAATGTTCTAGCAAAACTGAGAGTTGTTCCAAGTTGTTCTATGCCAGTACGTAATTGTTCTATAGTTTGGGACCGCTGTCGCGACGTTATCGGTCGAAAAACACAAAAAAAAAAAAAAAATGTGTTTATTTCCAAGAGTAAAGTACTCTTTAAAATTATGTTCTAGCAAAATTGAGAGTTGTTCCAAGTTGTTCTATGCCAGTACGTAATTGTTCTATAGTTTGGGACCGCTATCGCGACTTTAGCGGGCAAAAAAGATGAAAAAACAAAAAAAATGTGTTTATTTCCAAGAGTAAAGTACCCTTTAAAATAATGTTCTAGCAAAACTGAGAGTTGTTCCAAGTTGTTCTATGCCAGTACGTAATTGTTCTATAGTTTGGGATCGCTGTCACGTCGTTATCGGTCGAAAAACACAAAAAAACAAGAAAAATGTGTTTATTTCCAAGAGTAAAGTACTCTTTAAAATTATGTTCTAGCAAAATTGAGAGTTGTTCCAAGTTGTTCTATGCCAGTACGTAATTGTTCTATAGTTTGGGACCGCTATCGCGACTTTAGCGAGCAAAAAAGATGAAAAAACAAAAAAAATGTGTTTATTTCCAAGAGTAAAGTACTCTTTAAAATAATGTTCCAGCAAAACTGAGAGTTGTTCCAAGTTGTTCTATGCCAGTACGTAATTGTTCTATAGTTTGGGACCGCTATCGCGACTTTAGCGAGCAAAAAAGATGAAAAAACAAAAAAAATGTGTTTATTTCCAAGAGTAAAGTACTCTTTAAAATAATGTTCCAGCAAAACTGAGAGTTGTTCCAAGTTGTTCTATGCCAGTACGTAATTGTTCTATAGTTTGGGACCGCTATCGCGACTTTAGCGGGCAAAAAAGATGAAAAAACAAAAAAAATGTGTTTATTTCCAAGAGTAAAGTACCCTTTAAAATAATGTTCTAGCAAAACTGAGAGTTGTTCCAAGTTGTTCTATGCCAGTACGTAATTGTTCTATAGTTTGGGATCGCTGTCACGTCGTTATCGGTCGAAAAACAAAAAAAAAACAAGAAAAATGTGTTTATTTCCAAGAGTAAAGTACTCTTTAAAATTATGTTCTAGCAAAATTGAGAGTTGTTCCAAGTTGTTCTATGCCAGTACGTAATTGTTCTATAGTTTGGGACCGCTATCGCGACTTTAGCGGGCAAAAAAGATGAAAAAACAAAAAAAATGTGTTTATTTCCAAGAGTAAAGT